CCCCCCCGGGCCCCACGCACTTGAAGAAGTCCTCCTTGCAGTACACGCCGTCCCCGCGGCTGAAGCACTTCTCGGCCAGCTGCGTCTGGCAGTCGGAGCATTTCAGGCACTTGCTGTGCCAGTGCCGGTCCAGGACCTTGAGGATGAACCTGTCCACGATGTGCTGGTTGCAGCCGGCGCACAGCGGGATCTCTGCGGGAGGCAGCCCCCCGTCAGCCGCCGCCCCCACGGCCCCGCTGCCCCCCCCTCCCGACCCCGGCCCGGTTCTCTCCGGGTCCCCCCCTTTTGGGGACGGCCGGGTTCCGGGACGAAAAAATGGCTTTTTCGTTCAATTTCGTTGGAGCGGCGCCGTGCGAGCGGCCCTGAGCCGAGCTCCCTCTGCGAAGAGCCCGGGGGCGACGGGGAAAATAAGAAGGGAGGTGACGGGGGGGGGTGGGAGGAATTAACCCGGGCCGAGCCGAAAAGCCCGAGAGTCTCCTCGCAATTATTCCGTTTTTTTCTTTCTTTTTTTTTTTTTTTTTTTTTTTTTCTCCTTTTCCTACGCTTCAAAATTTCACCTGCAAATAACGGCGGGGTAGCCTAGCCGGGGTGGGGAAAATTTCTATAAAAATAACGAAAATTATACTGAAAATAAAATGCAGCGGGATGGTCTCCTCGCCCTGCAGATATCGGTAAAGATGATACAGAAATATCTGAGATAGGGATACGGATAGAAGTAGAGAGAGATGAAAATGAACTGATACGTAGATAGAAAATGAAAATGTGCAGATGTATCGCCGTAAATACACGGCTATCGATATTTAGGCACAGGTGGGTAAAATGTAGATACGGAGGTCCAGAAATTGAGCTGCATCGCTAAAGGTACAGCCGTGGGGAACACCCGGAGCAGATGCAGATAAAGGCGGCCACGGGGGGGGCCGTACGCGGAGATACCGGCACGGAGCGGTACGGCCGGGCAGGAGCGGGGTCAGGAGATGTCCTTACGGCCGAATCCTCCCCGCAACACCCGGCCGCGACCGAGCAAAAAATGCCCTCACAAAAAATGCCCGAATAAAAATTAAAAAATATATATTAAAAAAAAAAAAAAAGAGCAAAAACCGCCCGAGCTAAAAATTTCCCGCAACGGCTCCGATCCGGGCAGCGGCGGCGGCCGGCTCCGAGCTGCCCGGAGAGACCGGGATGCCACCGGCACGGCCACCGCCACCGTCCCCGTCCCCGTCCCCGTCCCTGTCCCTGTCCCCGTCCCTTACGCTGCTGCATGGTGCCCCCGGCAGCTCGGTGCACTCAGGCGGGGCGCAGCCCCCCGCGCATCTTCCGCATCTCCGCAGTCGCCGCCCGTCCCGTCGCGGCCGGGGCTCGGAGCCGGGCGCTGCCCCCCCCCCACCTCCCCCAGACCCTCCCCAGCCCCCCGGGACCGCGGCGGCGCTGGAGCCCCCCCGGCCGCTGCCACCCCCACGGTGCCGGGGCTGGAGGCGGTCGCAGCGCGGTATTTTCAGCCTCCGGCCGTGCCCGCCGTGCCGCCGGGCATCGCTGCGAGCCGTATTTAACCCCCCCGGGCCGGCGGCACGTCCCTGTCCCTGTCCCCGTCCCCCCCCCGCCCCCCGCCGCCCCTTCCCGGCTGGGCACAGCGACGGCTCCGGGGTGCTCGGAAACGAAAACCGGGCGGGGCCGCCCCCCGACGGGACAGGGGATGGGCAGGGGGCCGAGCCGGGCTCGGGGGCACCGCCGAGGGGGGCACCGGGGGGGTTCAGCGGCGATCAGTGCCCGGATTTCGTTGTGTGCCGCCGAGCGAGGGTTTTTGCCGAGGGAAAACAGCACCGCGCGAATCCGCACACCGGGGGCACGAAGGGACACCCACCCGGCCCCGGCACCCCAGCTCGGTGAGACCCCCCCACAACCCCCCGAGCCCCTCTAGAGCCTCGCCGAGCCCTTCGCGTTGCCTCCCCGGCCCCCGGCCCTATTTACGGGCATCGCGTCCCGCGGGGAGCCGGCGCTGCGGTGCGGTTCCTACCCCCGGGGGTTGGCCCCGCGCCGGTTTTCGCCTCCTGCCCGCGGGGCCAAACGCGCAGAGACCTCGGGGAGGCCGCGGGGCGGCGGAGCGGGCGCTAAACGGGGGCAGCGGCCCCACGGCGGGGGGCTGCAGGGCTGCCCGGCCCCGCTCCCGCTGCCCCGACGGCTCCGGCCCCGTCCCGGTCCCGGTCCCGGTCCCCGCTTTGCCCCCTCCCCGCTTTCGTTCGGAGCCCTCGCACCGAGGGAGCGCGGCCCCGTTCCCTCCCGCCCCGACGTCTCCGCCGTTCGTTAAAGCGGGGGGAAAAACGCGAGTCCGGGAGGAGTTACCGGGAGCCTTTCCGGAGGGGGACGGAGCCGGGGGATTTGGCGCAGGGGGTGGCGGCCGCCGGGGAGGAAGGGCCGGGAGGGAGCCCCCCGGTTTCGTGCCGCATCGCCTGCGGTGCGCGGGGCCGCTGAGCCCCGCCGGGACGGACCCGACGGCAACGGGGAACGAACCGAAGGAACCCAGGAACCAAAACGGGATCCTGGGGAGGGGGCGGCTGGGACCCACCGGGGATGCCCAGGCGAAACGAAGGCGGCGGGCGGCGGAGCTGGGCCCCCCCGGTGCCGTCGGGGCTCCCCCAGCTCCCCGCAGCCAGCCCCGGCCGCGTCCCGTGGGTGCCCCGGGGGTGCGCGGAACCGGGGGCTCCCGGTGGTTCCCGGTGTGTCCGCGGGGCTCCGCGCGGCCCCCCCCTCACCTGGGCTCCTCGGGAAGGGGCAGAGCTCCGCTGCCTTCTCCGAGCCGGCTCGGACCCGCTCCAGCAGCATCGCGGCGCCGTCCGAGGTGCGCGGGGGCTGCGCGTTTGTGGCGGAGCCGCGCGGAGCCGAGCGGGGAGCGCCGGGGGCTTGGCCGCCGCCCGGGGCGGAGCGGGGAGAGCCGGGGGGGGCGGGCCGGGGGCGGCACCGAGCCGTCGGGCCGGGCACAGCTGGGCCGCGGTGCACCGAGGGGCTCTTTAGCATCACAAAAGAGCTCGGGGAGGGAGGGAAGGAGGGACCGGGGGGGGGGAATGGGGACGTCCCACGCGTGTTCAAGGCTGTCACCACCGGTAGCAGCCGTCCCCGAGTGCCAAAAGGCCCCCGCCAAGCCCCCGCGGGGGATCCGCGCTGCAGTCGGGGCCCGAGGGAGCCCCCGTCGGGTGGAGCCCCCCCACCGGGCTGGCAGCCCCCCCCGCCGCCCCCCTGCCTGGATTTCGTTTGTCCCCGCGGCGCTGGCATCCCCCGACGGCAGCCGTGGGGTGCTGGGGGGTTCGGCCCCCTCCTCTAATTAGTTAATGAGCGGGGAGAGGACGCGTGTCTGACCCGTGGCGATCAGTGCCCTGCGGCTGGCAGAGGTTAATTGTGTTAATTGAGGATGGGGAGGACGTGGAGTTGTGTGTGCACGTGTGTGCGTGTGTGTGCATTTGTGTGTGCTTTTGTATTTGTGTGTGTGAAATTTGTGCGTTTCTGTGTGCACGCGTGTGCAGGCTCCACATGTGCAGAGCCACGGTGCGTGCACATAGGCGCAGGGCTGGGCACACACACGATTGTGTGCACTTGTGGGTGTGTGTGTGTCCATATTTAGGCTGCGTGTGTCTGTGCCAGGCTGTGCTCGGGTGTGCAGGGCCGTGTGTCAGCCCCTGTACCCATGGGGGTGTGCGGGTTTGTGTCTGCACACCACTGTGCGTGCCCACGAGAGCCCGAGTCTGTTCCATTGTACTCGTGCTTGGATGATCTTGGGGGGTCTTCTCCAACCCTGATGGTTCTGTGCTGTATTCCAGGGATGTTTTTGTGTGCACACACGTGTGTGTGTGTAGGTGTTGGGGTGCGTGTGTCCGTGTCCGTGTGCAGCCCGGTGGGTGCGTGCGTGCGCGCTGCTTGTCCCGGGCAGCCGGAGCTGATAATTGTGGTTGTTACTATGAGCCCGCTAATCCCCCGAATCCCTTTACCTCCTGCTCGCAGGGGATTACAAATTAATAAAAGCAGCTTAGGGGCGGGAGCCTCTGAGCACACATATGTTCCTGCCGGAGGGCAGCACGGGGACTTTCGCCCAGCGGTGGGGACAGCCGGGGAGCAGGGCCCGCGTTGGCCCCGCACCATCCCCGGGCATCCCAGGGGGCCAGGATCCCTTCCACCCACTCCCCTCCTGCAGCTCCTGCATGGTGCAGAGCTGTGGAGAGTGATACCTGTGCGGCCAGGGGACAGATCCCAGCCTGGGGGACAGCTCAGTCCCATAGGGTTGGAAGATAAAGCATGGAGACGTTTTGGGGAGCAGGATTTGGGGTCCCCAAATAAAGTACCCTGGCACACCAGGCTGGAGTGCAGCCAGGGAAGGGGTGGAGCTGGCAGAGCATCGCTGGTACCGTGCCCCAGTGCTGCTGGGTATGGCAGTGAGTCCAACCGGGTACCACTGGCACCGGCTGCACTGGGGCTCCCCGACACCCCCCACGGCCACAAACAGCTCCTGGGGGCGGATGAGGGGGGCAGGCGATGACCCACGCAGTCCCTTTTAAGCTCGGTTTTATAAGTGGATTTTTAGTCTGATCCTCTAAGGAAGCAGTTTAAGAAAGCGGGGGTGTGTTGTGCGTGGTGGCTGCTCCCTGCGCACACGGTGCTGGGCACGGTCCTGGCAGCTGGGGCTTTACGGGACAAGGTGACTCCACACCATGGCACCACCTCTGCAGGTGGCTTTTTCCACAAAAGCCCCTTTGGATGTAAAAATAATGTAAAAATAATTGGTCACAAGCCAAGAGTGTTTCTGTCACTCCCACAAAAGTTTACCAATGTTTTATGAAGTTATGAGAACCGTGGAAAAAAATGGAATAAAATTTGCATGTTACTGGAACTTTTCAAAATTAAGCACCTACATAAAATAACGGTTATGGTGGGAAATGGGTGTGTATATGAGCTATCCTCGCAATATAGTTCAGCTAAAAGGAACTTGAAAATATAGATAAAACCCCAAAACACAGCACTTTGCCCAAATGTTTGCAATTTATTTTTAACAAGCACATTAGTTTACAGTTTAGTACAAAATGGTCACTTTTCCTTCCTAGAGAGAGCTAAAAAAAAAAACACACAAAAAAACAAAAACAACTCCCCCAAAAGAATAGACATGAAAGCAGCAAGTTACTGAATTCAAATAAATAAAACATTTAAATTACTGAACTGTTATAGTCACTATTTTCAACATCTCATATGCAATGCACACGCCTAGAGAACGCACTTGGGGCTTTTTGTTGGGCCGGCGGTTCCCACCCGGTTCTAAGAACAGCAGGATGGGTACAGCACTGGAAAACAAAAGTTAGAGTTCTCGGGAATAATTTAGTCAGGTTTCTTTAGCACTTGCACCTTTTCCTTCTCTCACCAGCCACGTTGCACAGTATTCCTTTTATTTTCCATGCAGCTTTAATATTTCCTCTGTAGAAGACTCTGTGAATTACGAAGGGCCAGAAATCCTTTCTGGAAGCATTAATAGCACTGCAGAAACTTGGTATACAGCACAATGCAGAAACAGAAGTCCCAGGACTAAGGAGAAAGTGGTGTGAAGCGTCTTTAAAAAGGAAACACTTCCTTGTGACACTGGTAGTGCAGAGGGGCAATGCAGCATCACACATTCCCCAGCAGACATAACGCATCTTTACAACCAAAGTACGTAAAAGGACAAAAAATTCCATTATGAAGATACAAAATAAGAACAAGTAAACCAAGATTTACACAACTGAGCCCAAAGTCGAGAAAACCTTTCCAGCTGAGGTCACTAGGAGCAATTAAAGTGAAAGCCTGAGCCAGTTACATGGCAGCACTGAGTTACGGCAGCGACACAATCGACATCTTCATTTCATGCTTTTACACTCTTAAGAAAGAAAAAACATCACTGGAAATCTGTGTAGCTGTTCGCTTTGTCATGTATCCAGCAGGGCCACAGTAACATAATAGTTACTGGTATGTAGCAAAACCAAAACACAACCCCAAATCTTATTCTAACAACGTTTGCTTTGTTTTAATGGCAAAATCAGCCCTACCAACCTCCAAAAGCTTTTGTCTTTCCTGTGTAGATGAAAACACAACTAATGAGTCAAAACTAAACAAACTCAGGTTAATGTATTCAGCAAATTTTGAACAGCAGGAGTAATTTTCAGCTTTTCTGCTTCAAAACGTGCAATGATACTGACAAGAGGAAATTCACAGTCCCATAGAAACTGGGAAAATTTTCTAGACCCAACACTTGCTGTACTGCCTTTTGCTGTTTGCTTTTTATTTTTATTATTATTTTTTTTCTTTTTTAAAGTGAACTTCTTTGATTGCTGGCTGATACCAAGATTTCCCCAGATTAGGTCAGTTCGAAGTTGACTATTTTACAAGCTTAAGTTTGGCAAGTCTGGGCTTTCCCCTCAACTCAGGTCCTGTAGGGACCTCTCACTGGATTCCAGCAGGAAGCACAGCAGCACAGATCGAGCAGGCTGGACAACCTGACACCCTTGGGCAGCTCTTTCCAGTTGCTTAAAAATTGTTTTAGTACTCAAGCCCAGGTGCTATAATTACAGTGACCCTTACAAACCTATAAAAAAAGTAGGAAACCACAATGCCTCGTTGCATCAGAACAGCGAGGATCCTTAAGAAGCCCAGGCTTGATGCTGCTGGGTCAGAATTAGAGAACTCTGCACGAGAGGAACTGCAGAAGGCAGCTTCCAGCAGGGAGCTACTGTCCCCATGGGGTCAAGTTCCTTGCATAGGAGCAAGAGCCATCAGGTCCGTAAATGAACTTACAGGTGGCTTAAAGGAACTGCAGGTAATGGACCTCTGTGTACATCGGACTAACAGTGTCACGCAAAGGGAGTTTTTTTTTTCTTCTGCCATGTTTACAACTACACAGGGTTGCACTATGCTGTGTGCATTCGTACGTTGTTTTGAGACTTAAAGGAAAAAGGGGCAGTCAGCTTTGGCTCAATTTTGTTATTCCAAGTGGAAGCTGCAGAAGCTCTGGTCAAAAATGCTCAGTTTTGTGAATAAGCAAGATTTGGTTATGAAAAAATAACTTGATTTTTTTTCCAGCAACTTTTGGACTATTTCTGTAGCTGAGCTTTAAACTTTCTGTGCTGGGGTTTATGATGGAAGTAAGACGACGACACACTACCAGAGTGGATACAAGAAAGAATTGGCCAGGGCCTATCTACCCCTTCTCACGTAACAGAAGGGCTAGCGAACATTCAATTAAATTAAAAGTTGGAAATGTAGAATTGAAAGGAAAAGCCTTTTTATATAACATAATTAATCTGTAGAACTCACTGCCACAAGAAAACATTGAGGCCAAAACCTATTAGGATTAACTAAAGATTAGGTAATGGATAACTAGAACATGCTCAATTACATTGGATAGGATTATAAACTTCACTATCCAGGACGTGAATTATCCTCCACAGCTAGGAGCAGAAAGGAACTCCTACTCTGAATGGTAATTTTATAACTGTTTTCATGCTGTCTTGTAATTGCTCTCAGCTAGGATCCCAGACAGATCTGTAAAAGCACCTGCCCCATTCCCAATGGCTGCCACATCCCAGAACGGAGCAGCTCCTGGACTGGACCACAGTTAAAACCTTTCTTGACCCAAACAGCAGAGCACTCCAGCAGCAGAACAGAGATCGGCTGCTCTAAGCACTGTACAGCCAGCTTTGCAGCTGGCAGGTGGCATTCCCTCTGATCTCAGAGCTGGCACTACCAAATGAAGGATTTGTGCTGACTCACAGGAAGAAAAATTACTGTAAGGTAACGGAACTATTCAGGCATCCTAAGAAACGTAGTATTTCTAGATCTACAAATTTGCTCTGGTTTACTGATGCAAACGGAGCTTCACTTTCCTTCACTAAAAACAGCATTGTCCTTTACTGGAGTCCATCAGAATTGGCACAGGATAACACAGTATTTACTCAGCTACTTCTCTGGTTCACAGATGGGTGAGGTGAGTTGCACAATGCTCTGTTAACACATCAGTAGAGGAGCAAGGACAGCACGGGGTCTGAGTTTGTTGTTACTTACACCTGAGCTCCCTTAGCATGGATGGCAGCATCAGCAATCAGAATCAGGCTGCTTATAGAGATGCCTGCTGCCCCAAACCTCTCATCCTAGAAGCAGCTATCCTTGGCTGGAACAGGAGAGAATGGTAGATCTACTTGAAGATGTAATGCCTTCCACTTTAAACATGCAGCGTAAATAATATGGGAGAAAGTCACAAGGTTTAGAATTGATTTAATCAAAATAGAACTCTGGTTTCCTGGAGGAAAAAACAAAACACCGAAAAAAAAAATACAAAACCAATTCCTGCTTCTCCAGATGAAGAAGTCAAGGTAACAGTAACTGTTCAGTACTCTGGTAGGTAAAATCAGCTCTGGATAAATTAAAAAAAAATAGCTTGACGTACACAAAACAATATCCAATTTCTTTTCCAAAACCAGGCACAGTTGATTGCATAATGTAATGTTTACTCTGCAAATGAGTAAAGGATGTAGGCGGTAAGTCATGGAAAATCTGAGCTGAAAAATGCAATGCTTTCCTCACTGGGTACTTCATAACAGCACCGTGTGCCTCAGAGTCAAAGAGGGTTCTTACAGCAAGCTCCATATATTAAGCTAGAACACTTGTGAAATGACTTGGGAAGAAAGGGTTTTAAAACAAAGAATACTGTATACAAAATCCCTGATCATAAATATTAAAGCTGTATCTGGTACTGAACAGCCACGTACAATGAAAATGTTGTTTCCAATTTAAACGTCTATACAGAGGAACGATAATGCTTCACTTTCCACCGTTTAGATCTCATTCGGAAAAAAAAGTACATTATCATTAAAAATAAGGACGATGCTACATACAGTACGACACACAGACTCATGTCTATGTTGGAAAATCCAATCCCTAAGAAAGATACAGACTGCCTGCTCTCTTCACGGTTAACTGATTCAACTGCATTTTTACCTCTGTCTTTTACAGGTCCATGATTCCCTATTAGTTTATCTAACACCTTAGATTCTGAATCCCGTATGTTTTCTTGGTCCAGGACGTTATTTTCTCTGTTTCCACTTGGTTTCTTCAGTAGATTTTTGTCTTTTGCCTCCCTCATATCTCCCAGTTCAGTTTCACTGGCATCAGTCTGGCTTTCAGTGTATTTGTATAGAATATTTTCACTGTTATAGTGATACTTCATGAACTGTAGAACATGGTCCTCATTCCAGCTGTGTAATCCTTTAATTTCTTCATGACATGCAGGACAAAGGTCTGGAGTTGGCCACTGAACTTTGGGAAATTTGGGGTCTTCAGTCAAATCTCCTAATTGACAGGAGGGACAAAAAAATCAGAAGTGAATGAACTAGGAGAAGAGAACCACTGGAAAACATAGAAAATATATTTCACTTATAAACACTGAGGTTGGCATAAAAAGCCATCACAATAACGTTTGTATTAAACTAAAGACAATCGCGAACAAATTAGGAAATTCATGAGTTTCCTTATGGATGCTTCCTCTTTCCCTTACAAACACAATCAATTATTTTCCTTTTCTCTCAGTAAAAGCTGCAGCATTCAAATTCTAATGCAACCGGATCCCACAAGTGCTATGTTTTTAGAAGGCATGAAAACACCACCATCTGGGCCTTTCAGGGGTTAATTTGAGTTATGGTTCAAAACAAACTGCTCTTTTGCTCTCAATACTCTTTAATCTTGAAGCTTGGTTTGCAGAAAGCCATTTCAAGGCCAGTGACTTGCAGTTATTTTCGTGTTTCTATACTGTGAACTATTCCATCCTAAGCTTGCTTTTTCATAGCTTATTTCATTACTATAACAAACTATTTCCAGTACTTTAAAAACCATTATCATATTTAAGGTGTATTTTTCTGTTTGCTTTTTAGCATTTAAACATAACGCTACCTTGAACTAGATCTCATTTTAACATTTCAGTTGCTCATAGCTCCAGCCACCGTTCTGTCTTGATGGCAAAGAGCTGAATGCTGTAGCTAGTGTTTTTGTTTTATACTTTGCTCTAACAAAACCAAAATCTTCAAAATACTTGTAAAACAAAAATCTCTACAGCATAAGAAAACGAATTTATTTGTTATCAGTATACTAATGCTTAAAATATCTGCAAAATAAATATAGATTCTTATTATTTTTATCTTTTTCAAGGCTGGAAACTTCTCCTGGATTTTGATCAAAATATTGTTTAAGGATCCAAAGAATAATTAAGATTGTCTCTTTGGTATTTACAAGCAAAGAGCAAGTTTGCAATAAAAATCACTCACTAATCAATTTGTCTCAGTAGAGAAGGCAAAAAACAAAACAACTTGTGGTATGATTACAAACAGAAAACTTACTGTATTTCATGTTCCCCTGCCAAAAAGAATGCCATAAATTTTGTACACTTTAAAGCAACAGGAAATAATTAATTAGGGCAGAACCATATACAACAGTCTCAAGGCCCACACTTAAAGGTTGTGCCAAGGCATTTTCACGGACCAACCATTATTTCTCATCAGAAGCTACATATATTACTAGAAATACAGATGCAGCTTTTAGGGATTAAAATAAGTCACTGTCCCAAAGAGAAATTTTAGCAAACTTAAAATGCATAATTTGACATTATTATTTATTCCAGTATTTTTATACTTCTTACTAAAAGGGTATTTTAGCCAGCTGCTGCATTATTTAAATCAATATCCATGTGAGTTTTCCAATAACTTAATGTTTAAATTAAGTTCATTGTTCCACCACTTAGCAACTTCAAGTCGGCAAGACTACTTTCTTCTGTGTTCAGCCCAGCAATAGTAACAAACATTAAGAGGGATGATTTTATTTAATACCTCATCGTGTTCTTCTTTCTCTTTGGAGAAAGGAGACAAACTGTTTATACACACAACAGTATTTAATACTTCATAAATCGTGGGAATTCAGCTTAACCACAACATAAACACAATATAGCATATTTAAATTGTAACTAATGCTACATTACACAGATCCATAACAGCAGACAGGGATTAAGTGCAAAGAGAAACCAATTTTCTTTAGTGCTTTAGTTATTTGATATCCCCATAACTGAAAGGATTAAATACAACACAGTATTTTAACTGTATTTTTAGTCTAGCTGAAAACATAGCAATTGAGGGGGGGGGAAAAACAGGTATTCTTCATAGTAACTTTATTTTATTCAGTTGTTGATCCACTAATAGCTTAGGCTCTTTTATCCTGAGAAATCCTCCTCTTCAATTATCACCATTTTCTGTACAGCTTCTCTCCAGAAGAAAATGAAGAAATTTAGAAAAGTTTTAATACCCGTTTAAACTGTAATGGAAATAAATTTAATTATTTCTATCCATTGAGAAGTAACTTAACTTTTTTGCTCCTTTCTGAAGAGACTTTTGATTTGTACTTCAGAAAGAAATCACACTAAGCAACAGGTGAAATTTCAGAAGAAACGGTTTCTTCGTGAATGATGAAGATTTTTCATTGTATAGCATAAGAGATGAACTGTACTAGTGGAGTGTATCTCAAGTGTATGCATTTCTCAGTCACTCTAAAGGTACCCTGTCGGTCTTTGGAGTTACAGCTGCCCAGGACACTCTGTTTTGCTCTGTACACAAACATCCTTAATGTTGGTAACTTTGTACGCCAGTGTAAACATGGAGCTTGCCTTCTCAAGTCAGAAATTAATAAAGGAATGTTAAGCAGAAATAACAGTTACCATTGTTTTAAACTCATGTTACAGAGCATAATTTAATAACAATTTGTTCAAATATAAACTGCACTGTATAAAATGACATAGCCTTGTCTTTCAGACACAGCTACCTTGGGTGGGTTTTCCTAAGCAAGGTCTTCCATACCTGCAAGTCTGTTATTCACTACGTTGTGTTTCTCCCAGAGCCAGAGAACAGCCTTGTCTAACGTTTTAACAGAATCCATGGATTCTTTAGCCATTTCCTCAAAATGCTGAGCACAAGCCTTGCATCCAAAGAAGTGATGAATGTATCTCCGCATGATCTGAAGTACGATTTGGGGGTTGTCTTCAAGACCTAGAAAGACAGATGACATGCATTTAGCACCATCTGGACAAACACAGGTTCCATATGCTATGCGTAACGTACCTAAAAGTAGGAAAAGGAAAGGAAACGTTGCTACCTTTTCATTCCATGTGTATTTACACCTTCGATGTAAAAGAGGTGAAAAGCTTCACACATTTCTTTGAAGAAATACCCCTCCCCAACAAAATACATTTCTAATATCGTTCCTGAGTAGTCAAGGTGAGACATCTATTTATTCACTACCAAATCACTTGGTTTCTAATGCAGAGGTTAAAGTGATCTCAAACAGTATCTTTCAGAACAGTGTGTTTTGAAAGACTGGGATATCAGACACCTACAAGTGAATTATTTCCAACAACAGAGGCTCAAAAATGCTAAGAGTGACAGTGCTACTAAAATGTGGAGTAACTACTTATACCAGTATGTTGCTATGTATTTAGTCCATTCAATTGTGCTTAAAGTTGCCCTGAACAACATGTTAACTACAACAGCTAAAAGGCCAAATATTCCTATTTGTGATACGTCTCCTATAGAAAAGTATGTACAAGCTGAAGGGGAAGACTTACTTGGACAAATGAGCATCAGACTAAAAAAAAATTCTCAGAAGCTCATAAATACATTTTGAAATTGTTAAAATATGCGCAGTCCATGCTATATTACACAATTCTTCTTGAAGTAGAGACTTACTTCAGTATCTTGCCCAATAATTAAATTAATACGTTATGCATTCACCATTAGGTGCTGAAGTTATGGCCAGTTTGCTACCAAGAAGCCAAGAGTCAAAAACCCTCTGAAAAATATTTCAGGAGATACCTGTGATATCCATCTGTTCTGCTGTAACCCCAAGGTATTACAGAGCACCAGAATCTCGTTACGGTTATTAATGGCACAGCTTTTCTGGCTGGCACTGAGCACACACACCTAATAGCTATTTAGCAACAATTGAACTTTCAAGTGCAACTCAGGAATTCCTCCTAAAAATAAATACAAACACATTCTTCTTTCCGTAACATCCATATTCTTACACTAATAATGAGAAAAAAATGGTGATTTTATTCAGAAGCAGGCTGAAGTCTTTACAGATTGAGGACTTTGTCCTGGGCCTTTATTGTGACAGCAGGTCATCCCTACATTGATAAGTGAATCAAAAATAGTGTTACTTGCTAAAATCCTGACCTTTCATTTGTCTCAGATTTTCTGATTTATGCTTAATTGATCTAATAAATTGTGTCAGAATGTATTTACAAATTCATGCGTTATCTCAAAAACAATTGTCAAAGGAAACACATTTTGTGATGCAGCATCCTGGACTGAACAAACTCCTGACTGCTGCAGCTGAACAAGTCTGCCTAAAAGTAATTTGCAATACAAGTTTTACAGATTGCACAGTAAGGGGTTACAGAGCTCACTGTCCTATTCAGGTAGCGAATAACAAACTCTAGTAGTATATATGCCCTCCATACAAGCATTATTTCTTCGGAAAAAAAAAATCCTTAGCAGAACCTATTCAAAACTATCAGAATATTTACCTGTTAACTATGTAAGAAATGTATGCAGATCGTCCTAACACACCTTTATTTAGAACAGTGACATTGCAGTCTTAAACACAGGGGTAAGAAGTCTTTAAAACCATAAAGAAATCATAAAAAGCAAACAATCTCTACTCAGACATTCAATATCTGTGATTGAATAGGCATGTATAAATAAAAGCTATGAGATTAAAGCAGATTAAAATACAGTATTAAAAGAAAGGATGAAAAATAATTTTATAAAGTTGCAATGAATTTCAGGCAAAAGAGTTTTATCACATATACTGAATATGAATTTAGGAAAAAAAAAACATTAAAAGTAACTACCAGCAAACCACCTCTTAAAACAGATATTTGTACACAAATTTAATTATTCTCCTGTGCAGCATTACATTCTTGAAAGTTCCCTCAAAGTTCATTTTCTAGGGGAGGTTTTCTAATTTAGCAACAGATTAAAAAGAATTCAGATATAATAAAAAAAAAATCCACAAGCCGGTCTTACTCACACCAATGGATCCTATTAACTGAAAACACATTTCATACAATTAAGTACACCTAGGATGTGATTCCTACAACGATTTTATCCACCCTCTGATACGAACAATTATACTTAAAGTTCCTTTGGATTCCTTTATGCTGATCCCACTGCAGGTTCAAATTACACAGGTCAACATTAAACCACATCAAATACAAAACAATAAAAACATTATATCAAGAAAGCCATAGCAAGTCCACACGGCTAGACTCTGCAAGCAGGGGAAACTATCAAGAAAAATACATCTGGTTTAAAAAGAAAACAAACAATTGCAAAATGGCTCATTTTGTTTGTTTTTCTTTTATCAGCCCAGAGATGAATCTTCTATTAACATCTGCCATGTATCATCGTGTAATCCTCCTTTTCTCTTTCCTCCCAAACTACAGCAATTCAGGGTAACCCTAATCTTTAAAGTGGACAAGAACCATAAAACCCTACCTGTGGTGGGAAGGATTAGGGAGTACATCATGCTTTTTAGTAGATGGGATTTAAACAAGCAATAAGGAGAGGAAAACCTCCCAAGACATAATCCGACAGTCTCAGACTGACCCAATTCTTTCGCCATAAGAAGTGATCATCACATATCTGTCCCGATTTAAATCAATGCTTAAGTGTGCCGAAGAGTTTTCGGGTTCCACAGTGTATTTTTAACTTCAGACTGACTAAAGCTCACAACTGAGACATGGAAGCAATTTAAGATGCAATTTTGCATAGTTCGATATTAAGAACATTTATAAATTTAATTAGGACAGTTTGGGCAGTTCAAACAAAAGGGGGAATTTAACTTATGCATGATGCTGTTGAACAGCTAATATATCATGCAGCACAAAAAAAACTGGTGTGGCAGAGCACAGCATAACTTAAAGGGATTCAACCTGCTCTGCCAACAATAACAAACAAACAAAAACAAAAATCGTATACAGGATGATTAGCTATTCTTAAATTCCTATTTTGCAGGAGGTTCAACATTAAGAACTGAGAGTTTATCACTGTGATTGCAAGTAGTGCTGGACAAATATATGTATCCATAATTTGATTTTTTTTTTTAATTTAATGTACAAACAACCAGAAAACCAGGTAACGCTGTATAAAGCATTTCTTGCAAAAGACATCAAGCAGACTTTAAATTTAAAGAATAAAAACAAAATTGAACTAAAATCAAACAATGCACTGTCTTGACAAGTATAAAATAATATGGGGAGTGATACTTTAGCATTTATAATTCTATTTTCATTTGTGCTAAGACGACTAAGAATCAATACCAGAACATTAACAGTTTCAGAAGACAATGCAAGTCTAAAAGAAGCGATTTTACTAAGTGTTTGCAAAGAAGTGAGTACATCACACTGCACATATTAAGGGACACTATGTAAATTCATCTGAAAACAAATGTTTCATGACATTCTGTATTTATGAAATGCAATTACAGAAGGATTGGCTAATGGTTATACAGTTTTTATAGCTACTAAATTCTATGGTTACATCTTACTCTTTTCAAATTAATAGTGCCACCTCAGATAACAATCTTCTTCCCATTTCAGGTAGTTCAGAATTATTATTATTATTATTTTTTTTTTAAACTACTCCCCTCTCCTGTTTTCTTACTCGCATCTTCAGGGCAACATATTTTATTTACCACATTTCTAAGCAAGGACAAATTGACACACTTTCTTTCAAAGGCAACACACTAAAGCTATGCTCTGACCCCTGCTGGTACAAAACTGAAAACTAAGCCTTAAAAGCCACTGTCCATGAATGTATTAGTTGAGAACTGAATGGATTAAAGCATTCTTTTCCTGTACTTTTTCTATTGCATAGCAGAACTGCTACACACTTATTTGTCTTGTCCTTCAAGTGTCCCACATAACTACTGCTTACCTGTATTTATCAATGCTTTTGGTCGCAGCGCAGCTTGAACAGTTAGGGTATGAAACAGCTTCCAAAGGGAGCAGGTATAACCTCTCAGCTCTGGTCTGCTGCCCTGACATCCGACCCACTCAATTCTCTTAGTGAGAAATATCCCAGAAATCTGAAAATAATGTGTATTTAAGATATACGCAGCTTTGGTACCTAAGTTAACTTAAACAATTTTGGAAATGACACTTCACTACTGAACACAGCAAGTATGTTTAAGAGCTTCAAAGTTCCTAAAATATGCTTGTATTTTTGCATTTTTTTTCCCACATGGTTACCCATAAGCTAGTTCACTACTGAACACCCAAACACACATTATACACACTAGAAATTTCGGAGAACTTGAGGCAGGCAAACTCACATAGCCAAACACATACAAGCAATCCTGTTGCAGGTAGAAACACAACATTTCTACCTAAATAAAACATGTTTAAATAAGCTTAATATTTTCATGGGACATCACTTTTCAAAACACAATGCATCCCCTCTCTTATTACAATGTTCAGTCCAGAAAAGAAAGGCCCAACCCCAAAGGATAAAGGCTTTGAATTCTCAGTTGAAATAGGGAGGAAATATGTCTCTTATACATTCAGTACATTTCCAGATCAGCCCCTAAGTTTTTCAACTAGCATTAACAGCACTGGCAATTCATCCTGAAATTGAGGTGATCCAAGTATAAAGGACAGTAAATTATTCTCTGCACTTGTTGTTAATGAATTCATGCTTAAGGCAAACAAATTGTAACCTTGGAACAATCTTTAAGTCTGAGATACTCTGATGCACCATTACTAAACTCATCCCTCTGGCAAGCACATTACATGATACTCAGTGTACAATCACTGGTGTTAAACCTACCAAGATGCACATCAGAAACGTCCGATTAGTCTGGCAGAGTGTATTAAGTAGCTTAACTTGTAAAGATTTTATTTTAAGCCCAGTATGAAAATAAAGCACACACATACTATTGTAAATAGAGTTACAGTATCCCTGGGCACGACAAAAACTCTGCATTACTTGGCAAGATCTAAGTGACTTACAGTAGTAACATATTCACAGGATAAGATGTAGAATTCATTTTTATTTCTTCTTAAAACAAACCCACTATTTACTATACATTAAATCTAGTGCAATATTTTTAGTTTCAGTGACTTATGTCTCTGCTTCCTAGAACACACATTAAGTTTCTGAATTTCAGATGGCAATCCCTCTTCATAAGAAGAAAGACAGAAATTAACTTATGTGCAAAGATGGCCCTATCACATCGCTTTGCATTACCAAACTGAGATGGGATCCCTGGCAAGGACTATACTGCAACAGGAAATTAAAGAGGTTTTTTTTTTTTTGAAAACTCCTCAGGAATAGTGCCCATTTCAATGGGTAAGTTTCTCATCTTCTAACTCTGACATTCACTCAAGAGAAACCTGCTGATAGCAGGCAAAGCAAGCAAGGCTAACATAGAAATTTTTGCTGGAAATCTTGCATTTGAAACTGACATTAGTAAACATGTAAATGTTAGTGATTGCTTCCTCATAAAACAGACAGGATTGTGGGCTTCATTTCTCTCATTTCAATTTCTTCATGTAGATTTTTTTTTTCTGGTAATGACTTCACTTTATTTTCATTTTAACCTTCTTATAACTCCATTATGACTGAGGGACCATCAGTAAGTGATGTCTTAGATTTATATAGAATCTTATCCTTTACTAATGCTGCATTTGTGTGCTGGAAACTAGTAACAGCTTACCCGCATTTTGTTGTTGACCAGATCTAGAATAGCATCATAAGGGATTTTGTCTAATGGAAGGCTCACCAGCCACTCTTGCAAGGTCTCTAACAACTTCACCACAGGCTGACGGCCAGGAAAAAGCTGAGGAAAAAAATAAAAAGAAAATACCAATATTTTAAAGCACAAATCTCATTAGCCGCAAGACAGCTTTCTATTTATCGACATGTCTTTTTCTTGTATTCAGTAAGTTTAACAGACAAGATTTTCTTTGTTATGTGCAAATGCTTGTTCTGTTTACCAGTAAAAAGCCATCTCACATTAACTTGCTTAAAAAATTAAGCATGCTGCTTTCGCAAAATGTTAACCACTATGAAGTTACTCAATTTCAAGCAGAAATGCTACAGAACGACTTTTGCCAGATTACATAAACTTTTGTACTTAAGGTAATTCAGCAGTGTATAATTCAAGAAGGAGCATAAAACCTGAGTGAATTAGAAAGGCTAAAATCCTTTCTCACTCTTAGAATATTAACGACAAATATGGATTCTTACAAAATTTTTGTTCAGACTTCTGATTCTGACCGTTTCAAATCTAAAGGGTCCTAATACAAATCAGTGGGCATCACAACTGAGAACTAAGAGAAAAGCCTTACACAAGAGAATGCAAATAAAGGACAGAAACCCTCACTTGTATAATGGCAGTCTGGAGATGAGCATGCAACTAAAAGACAGCATTCCCTATTTATACACTAATAGCCAGGGAAGCAAATGACATAAGCTGGCCAGGAGCCATCAGGAAGAAGAGAGGATGCTTTAGGGATAATATGATAGAAAGATTACCACTACACTTTCTTAAAGAAATGAGGCCAGCTAGAGATTTCTGACCTCTGATGGCTGCAGGGGGGCAAGAAACTGTCTGACTGATAAATCCAGATAGTTGGGGATAGTTCATATAGCCCTTATTATTCCCTTAAAAAGCTATTGGTTCATTTTATTTAAAATAAAGCAAAGCATTAGTTGCTGAGTGACACTGATGACTTTAGTAAGCTGATGTTGGAAAAAAATAATTTAACTTACATCACATACATTACTTACATTATCCCTTCATTCAAGTATAATGTGAGCATCTTCATTTTTGAAGTATTGTACCTCAATTATATTCAAAATTTAGACTGACATTAGAAATATCTGTAAATACCACTCTATTTGTCAAGAACGCACTAATAAAACCCAAAATTAAGAAGTGCAAAACATTTTTAATCTCACTGAATTGAAATAGCTATTTATCCTGAAAATCTGATAAAGACTATTTATAGTATTCATTCAATATGCTGCAGACTGCTTAAACTTTATTTAAATTTGAGCCCTCGAAGATGAAACTAAGATGCATTGCAGCCCTTTAAATATATCAGAACTGTATACAGTAACTCAAAAACAACACTTAAAGAAATCCACAAAACTATTTTTAAGCTACTGAGGAAGTAGATATTTAAATATATTCTGAAAGACATTTTGAGAGGCTTACATCACGTAATAAGTTTTATGTTAGTCATTTTTTTTGTTAAAATAATCAAGGACCAAAAGCGCATACCTTAGCAGCGATGGTAACAAAATCCTTGAAGGTCTTTAGCTCAGCTCCCTCAAGCATCCTGTGCGTAGCAAGTTCTACCCTAAGCAGGTAATGCAATCCTGATTCAAGGTCAGCCATGTACAGCTTAGATCTGAAACACACATATATAATGTTATGAAGTGGCAGGTTTCTTTCGCTCATTTTCTCACCAGTCATGAAGGTAAAATTGATATATAGTAAGGTGTCATTAAAACCTCAACATTTGCCACTCCACAGTGATTGCAGTATATCCTATGGCATACATGGAAAGATACAGCAGTTACTTCAGGTGCTCGGTATGGTGAATGTCAAGTTCAATGAGTTTCACTGTAGTCTTTTAAAGGAGTAGTTTTATGTCACTTTGTTCTGAAATGAGGCGAATGAAGCATAGTCACACAAGAATTTCTTTTATAATTGACTAAACTTTCATCTCCCAGCCAGTTTTACTTTGTAATGAAATTATAACCCTGCAATTGTCAGCAAGGAAATAGCTAGTGTAAGGAAATTATAGTTTCTCTTCAGGATCTGGCAGGAGCAGTAAAATGACATGCTACAAAAGAAGGGAGACTCTTGCTTAACACAAAGATGATTATACACAGACCAGAAGTGTAAACAAGACTGGGGAAGAAAAAAAAATAAAAAAATACTGAAAGCCCAGTAATTTGACCAATGAATCACTGCTCACGATCACAACAGTTACTTGCATTTTGAAGAAGCTGTAACCTCGGTGCTGGAACTAACTCACCAGTGTTATCTGAATATACTGAGAAATGGACTAAGTTGAATCAACAGCTGAAAGCACTGCTTTCAGTATTAAGCATGAATGCCTTTTATTTTATTCAGCAGAAGAATGAAGATGACTAAGTAGTGACCAACCTATTCAGTTCAAGATGCATCACCTGTGGTGGAAAAAGTTTTTAAACCACACTAGAATTTTATAATAAATGACAGCGCAGTTTCCTATGTGGCAAGGAAAAACTGCAAGCAAATTTTAATAATCAAGCATTGATCTGCATTTCAAGATCTGAACATCAGTATCACTTACTTATCAAATTCTTTCCACTGCTTGATTTCTGTGCTTTCCTCTTTGTTTTCTTTAACAGGTAGCTCAAGTGGCAAAAGTAGTTTCTTTCTTACACCTGGCAGCGACTTTAAATACGAAGAAAAGGAAGACCGAAGAGGCTTCACACTGCATATAAATGAACAAAGAAAAGATTACTTTTCATCTCACATTAAAAGAACATCCAAGGCAAATTAGTAAGTTTATAACATATTCACTTTGTTTTCCATTTTACAGTTCTGGTATGCATGATGTTTTGCTAAAAAGTGAAAACAAAACTGTTCAATTTAGGAACAGTAATAAAAAAACACTGGGATTAGTAGTTTGAAATTCTATACAAATTAAGAACATCAGCTTCATCGAAATACCAGCTTGCCTTATGCAGACAAGCTTACACATACAGCTTATACGTACAGCTTGCTTTTTGACTTAGAAGCAAGGTTTTTAGAGCTCTGATGTGTCATTATCTTTTTCTGTTTTTATTCAGGCATTTTCCTTTCAGGCGTATCACATTAATAGGCTAAAGCTATAAATAGGCAACAGTGGTAAGCAAAAGTAATACTAGGTCTCTTATTAAAAAAATATACATAATACTAAATGCTTTATGAAGAACTACCAGCAAATTGCTATCAGCATATCAAACTCAAAAATACAAACATTTGCCTAGAGCTTTCCAGTACGAAGCACTACTTCAGAATTGTCTACTTAAAAGTAAGTTTTGTCAGAAAATAATCTTGTTACTGTAGCCGAGCATCTCAAGGGCTATAATTAACTGCCACACCATTTTGATTACTCTTTCCTACCACAATATGAAATCTCACTTCCACTGACAGAACCCATATCTGTGTATTTTAAGAGCAAACTGTGTAACAAGATCACTACATACACTTTAGTAATTGCTAGAGTGCTCAAGTCAGGTGATTTTCAAAACACAAAGGAATGGAACACAAAATTTTAGTCCACATAATGTACTGAATACAAGCCATGACAGCGTCATTACATACATGCAAAAATGGTTATGAAATAACTTAATCTGTATGAAAGGAAGTTACAGCAACTGCTTTTAGAGCTTCAGTGAATTCCCTTACGTTCCTCTGAGACAGAAACTACTTACATGTTAATTAATCCACGGGACCCGTTTGGATGCATCAGATAGCACGAAGGGACTGAGGTAATACCAAGTTTCTCTAGAAAAGGCTTATCAGAATTCAGCGCTCTCTTTACCACAATGTTTTCATACTGGATCAAGTCTAAGATAACCTGTGCAATGAAAGGTAACAGGAGTTATACATCCTTCAAGAAATATGGAAGACAAGACAGGTAAACAGGTCAAGTGCATCATCAAGCCGTTCACCAAGAAAGTGCATCGATGAGCATTCCATGGACACTAACAATTTCAGCTGAAGAAAAGTTACTCTGGAAATTACTCTTATCTTTCTTTTTTTTCTTGGTCTATCCTGATCTTTTCCCTTTGAAGTCTAACACCCAAAGAAAACATGAGAATGAATGATGAAGTGTCCTCATACACTTCAAAACTGCATAGAGAATACTCCTCAGGCATGTTTCACATTATAAGAGTTTAAAGGCAAGTTTTCATGAAGTGAAGAAACATTTATTCGGTCCCATCACTTTAGGGCATTCTGATGTCAAAGTCCATGACTTAGAAAATAATCAAGGGCTTAAAGTAACACAAGATTTTGCCTGGCAAACCCTGTAGTCTGTGGTGTCACAGCATCTAGCTGTCCCTTCAGCTCTTTCTTTACCAACCCCACAGTACAGACTGCATATAGGAATAAGTGCCCATACCCTAAAAGTTACAGTTCAGAGTCCAGCATCTTAGCCCAAAACATTCTTCATTATCTCTTTAAACCTGATGCTGGGGTTTTACACTGGAGCAGCTGGGAATGAGCACACATTTCTCTACAAGGTGTACACTCTAGCAAATGGCAGAGGCGGCAGAAGAGGGCGATAACGTAAGGATGCCTCAAAGGTTTGCCAGGATTCAACTATAAATGTTCTTTGCCAACTACAGTCAATGTTACTCCTACGAACATGATGACTCAGTTTTAAGTAGTGAAAATTTTCCATTTAAGAAAAACAGCCTAAACACTCCTTTTTCCCTTATTACAATGTTATTTCCTGTTTCGCTATTTAAAGTTAAAATTCTATATTACATTAGCGAATGTTTGTCCTTCTGAAAACAGATTCCATTTTCTGTTATTCAAATGATACTCAGCTTTTCCTATAACAGAAGGTTTAAAATCAGTTTGACAAAGTACTAGAGAGCTTTACAGTCATCACCTTCTTTTTGGTAATGCCCACTTGTATCAACACAGCAGCTTCCAGAAAACAAATGTCTGGAAGCAGCCTGCTTCTCAAAGTGATTCTCATTTTTGGCAGCACACCCTCCACTTACACAACTCAGCCATCTCAACATCAAATCTAATTAGAAACATTTCACACACATTGGATGTTTCTACACAGATTATGTCTAGATAATTGTGCAATTTATTTTCTTTACTTATCCTAGATCTTGGCAGCAGGAGAAAAGTAACAGTTGTCTAAGCTAACAGCAGGCTCGTTAAATGGCAAAATGATGCCAAATCAAATATATTATTGGGGGGGTGGTGGTGGTGAGGAAAGCAAAAACCAAAAGACTTTCATTTCATCAGTGGCTAAGAGCTGTGAAAATAATTTTATGTTATCATCTTAACTTAGAAAAACATGTGAAAAAAAGAGAAACAGAGGTTTTAGATTATGAACAGTTGAAATCTTAAGAGCTGCCCAGAAGAATGAGTATTATGAACAGTTCTCTAGCAGTAACAAAAACACAACATCTGATAATATTTTTGTTGTGATCTTCCAGCTCTTGAAACAAAAGAATTATGCTAACAATGAAATTGAAATATTAATCTTCCTCCAGAGTGTAAACAGAAGTTAATATGACATTGTGCTCATTTGTAAGCAAGTTCCTTTGTGTAATTAAATACAACAGCCCTATGTAATCACTTGACTTTGTGATATCCCAAATACATGTGACCTGACCCTCATCATCCTTAAATACTGTCCTACAATCACAAATTTTCTTGCTTGGCTAACTAACATAAAACTCAGCTGTGTTACGATAAAATTCATTCATACTCATTATGTCATAAATCATACATTACCTCTCGCCCGACGTAGGAGTTATTACTTTCAACCACAACGGCAGTATAATGATCGCTGTTCTTGTCAAAAAGAGCAGTGATATCACTGGACCTTTTAGGAAGAGAAAAGCCATTTAGCACAGGTAGAATGCCATAAACTCAGTGTTATCAATTAAATTTCTTTTTACCTGTCTTGTAGCAGAACTAACAACAACAAAAAGCTTACTCCATCTTTAATAAGATCTACATTTTATTAAATTAACATAGCAAGAATACACCAGCTGTATTTTAAACACAGAACTTACAAAACTGGATCCAACGATGGGCAAGCAGGCGGTCTTGACTCTTGAGAATGGTTCTGTAAGAAGTCAATCATCATCTGGCGAACTGTTTGCAGCTCACGGTCTGCTCCTGCTCAGTACAGGTTACAAAAAGATGTAATATCAGGAAACTGTGTGAAAATCTGCATGTTGATAACTTGTTACCATTCTTGTGCTTTTGTGTGGCATTTATTTGATTTACATTTGGACTCAAAAAGCAGGCGTTACTATTTGGCTGAAGAACAGAGGATTTAGTTGTAGGATTTCACTTTAATGTTGAGATGAGATCGTATTTAAAAACTGTCAACCTGTCCCCAAATGTATAAAATATTAAGACTTTTCCAAACCTAGCCATCTGCCTGCCTTGCTGATTTTCTCTTACAACAATGCTTCATTCTAAATCCATGCTTGTTTTCACAGTAGTTGCAGTGGGAGGCTTCGGTGGCTTTTTTGCAATAAGGATATTCACCACAGATTTAAAACAGAGATGTACCATTCTTACCAAATGGGCCAGGTGAGGTTACAAAGCCACAGAACAATATAAGGAAATAACTAAGTGTGAGAACATTTTGTATGCTTTAAAAGAAAGAAATCAAAATGCAGAAGCTCTCACAAACGCCAAACGTAACAGGTACAACTGCAGTCTAATTCTACATGAAGGGTTAATGGTGCAGGTGGTCCCTCTTCTGACCTCTGGCCTTTTGAATGTTAATCCCTTGGAAAAGACAACATTACTTTTGTCCTCAGACAAATCACCTCAAGCTGTGATCTTGTCAGACACACAGGATAAGCCTGGTTTCAGCTAGTCAACATCTGAATAGGGGTTCTCCCAATGAGATTCAGGATGCCTGGAAACTGGCTGACAGGTCAAAATGCACCAGAGCCATGATTGATCAAATTGGAACTCATGCCCATGAGATTTTTTTGTTTGTTTTGTTTTGTTTTTTTCCCTAAACATTTTTTTAAATAATCTAACCACTTGTGAACCACATTTCAAAACCTAAGAAATGTAAGTTTTTAAACAAAGGTCCGTGTTTTCACCTGTCTAAAATTCTGCCTGATATTTTAATACACTAATTGTAACATCACATCTTAAAAAGCTTTTCAGTGTCTAGGTGTCTAAACTAATTGACAGGACAAGGGATTTTGATAATTTTTTGACAAATTCCTGGCTGATAGGACAACTGCTTTGGGTATTGCTTACAGTAGGATAGTCTTACCTCTGGAATTTTCTCCAGTTGTAAACTGCTTTGTAAATGCTTTGAAGTACTATGTGGGGAGAAAAAAAAAGTATTATTGGTATTATTGCTTTGAAAATAACTTCACTGTTTAAGAAAAAAAGCTCAGTTTAGAAACAATGAAGTCTTCAAGAGTTTTCACAGCTCTAATTACAAAACACGTTATCTATTCCAGCCTTTACTCCTAGTCTGTGAGTTCCAAAGACCGGCTTCTCAACCACATGAAAGTAGCTCATCTGTCAAAACTCTAACAATCAAGCAAACTTTCAGAGGAAAAATACCATAACAATTCATAATTGTAGTATGATTGATAACAATTCATAATTGTTATCAATCTGTTACTGCAAACATTAACCCAAACTAAAATTGACTGATTACCAAATCAGTACCACAAACTACGTATACACTCAGAACATTATTCAAATTTTCTCAAATCCAGTGGTTAGACTGGATAGACAGTGGAGCTTGACTGCCTTCTGCTACTACAAAAAAACAAACAAACAAACAAAAACTTACGGTGTCTAACAAAGAGTATTTTACAATTTATAACCGAAACTTTAAAGACCAAAAACAAACAAACCACATTGCTCTTTCTATCCGAGTAGAGCACCCACAACTTCTGCAATAAAATCCCTACTGATCCTTCTTCTGTCATAACAGTGCTCATTCAGCCCTCTCCTTCAATCACATTCTTCTAATGCTTACAGTTCAGGGTGTGATTATACAGACTGGCAAAGACAGAGAAGTTAAAAATTTTCAGATTCTAAACGGAGGACTGAATTCCTACTCCAAATAACTGCATCATCTGTCGCACTGAGCAAGAAGAACTTGATTCCATCCTTTATCAGCCCTGTGATTTTCTCTGCAAAATCACAGAAAAAGCCAAGATAAAGAACAACTGGGTCCATCCATTACTATGGACAAATAAGTTTGTTATGGTTTTAGTTACTATACATAACCATGCATCATTTACATACAGCAATATATCAAGCCACTTACCCTAAAAGTTGGGTAGTAGTGAATACCATATTCTTTACACGTCTCGTAGTTCTCTTCTTCCCCACAATCCAGCACACCGATCCTAATTGCAGACTCCCAATCTGGAAAAAAAATATTTCTATTTTCAGCAGAAGTCATCAGAGGTGCCAGCTGACAGATCAGCCTAGTTCCCAAGGAAATCAGGCAACAGAACTCCGATGATAAGCACGCAGAATATATTTAACTGAATAAGATGAATCCAGCAGTTACTCGTTTGCGTGGCCGTCAATTACAAAACTTTAGTTTTGACGCATTTGATATCAGGGTTAATTTTAACAAAGGACTCACTAGCTGCTGAACTTGCCGTGTCCTCAGAGGTCTCCAGATTCACACTCGCCACAAGCCTCCCATATTGCCTGCTGACCAATATGTCCTTACCTTTTAGTACTTTCCAGGAGTACCTTAGAAATACTTCAGAAATACCTGAGTTTTAACCAGAGCACTAAATGGCTGAGTTTCCTTTATAAATGTTTAATAACCGTAACCACAAGAGTTCAAGTATTTCTATAAACGTGCTTATATAACTTCAATAAAAGCTTTAAATTCATTCATAGCCTTTTTTCCTTCTCATTTTGCCAGGAACTCGTCTTTTCGAGCCATGCTCCGCTGCAGCAATCACTTTAAAGAAGATCCCCTCCAAGAGGCTCCTTGTACAGCTACTGTTTAAAGCTAAGCTGAATCAAGACAGCTCTGGGCAGAATTTGAAGATGCATCACAATTCCCCAAGATCAATAAAACATAAACCAAAACAGCACTAAAAATTAAATCTGCTTTTATAGCAAGGAGCACGAAAGCATCATCAAGTTCAAGATCTGATTGTCAGTTGTATGCCTAGCTGTGCTGGAAATGTAGCTTGACCTTTATTTGTCTTTGAGGAGGATGGGGCAGCTGAGGGGGAATTTCAGTTGTGCTGAACATGCCAACAGCTGAACAGGCACCAGGAGTGACTACAAGCATTCTAGAGCAGATGGGCACGTATTCACACGGACACAAAGGATACAACAGTCCATTTTATCAAACAAAATGCAAAATAAATAAAACAAAACTTTGGCTTCTGGGTATCTATCTCATTCAACTTCCACCACTCCTCCTCCTTTTTCCACCTGTCTCCATCCTCCTCGGCAGGCTGAATAGCAGCTCTATGAACTGATGCAAATAGCCCACGTACAACAATGGAACGCATCCCCAGCTAAACACTTGGGTTAAAGAGCACCAGCTGGGATGTGTGCTGCTTAGCATTTGCTTCTGCTTAAAAAGGAGCTTCTCGTCTCTAAGGGATGTGGAAGTTGCTGGAGTACACAGCGTAGGCTGTGTAAGTTCACACTATCACTGCAGCATAGATTTTGGGGGTTTTATGCTGCTGAATTTTTAAATAGCATTAGCATTTTTGAAATAATACATAACTCGGTTCTACTCGCTGCATGCTGTAGAGAGGGCAAAGGAAAATACCCATGGAGTTTGCTATTACAACAGAGTACAAGTGTTCTTGTAGCATTCAGAGCTCTGCAGGGTAGAACAATTAGCTTGGCCTATTCTACATGGAGTATTTTGTTAAATCTGAGAAAAATGTTTAAATATACTGAAGGTTGCTCCAAATTTGTAACAAAAATGTAAGGGAAAAGTAAAATTTCTGACAGAAGTTATGCTAGAGACTCCAAACAACTCGACTAACTCACAAACTACAGGGAAGGGGCATCTGAATGGCACCACGTTAACCAAGCCCACTTCTGTTTATGCTAAACGAGTTCCAGCAATCACGTGAATACACGGGATAAATGAACTGACAATCCAGCAGGCTGGCGGACTGAAATGCTGCTCCCACTTGTGAAATGCTACAGAATACCAGCACACCAGCCGTAGTGCATCGCTAGGAACATGCTTCCTTGCACAAACCTTGTGTGCTGCCTGCAGCACGTGTATTACCAGCATCGTGCTGCCTTCCGTCGTGACGTGCAGTCAGGGAGATCAGGAGTGCATCACAAGGATCCCCTCTGAGTGCTACTTGAGAATCACATATTTAACACACAAGCTGCTTCCTGAAGAAGGGCAAGGTTAAAATCGTTCCTCAACAAATAAATAAAGCAATTTCTAGAAGGAGTTCCTGTATCTGGAACAACTGGCCAGGATTATTTCTGCATATAATTAAAGGGTTGCTGGAGGTGGGACTTCCAAGGGTTTGTTACTTCTGCACACAATTCCTGTCCACAAAAATTTTGGTGCATAGATTCAACCACCCTCTACGATATCAAAAGTACAATTAACTAGAATGTCCACTTTGGACACTACTGTAATAAAACTAAATGCATGGTTAGGAACACAGCAGCAACAACTTCAGCCTTAAAGCCTGTCCTGAAAGGACCAAATTTCAAAATGAAAAATGCAAATTACACGAAAGCAAGCTCTGCTCCCATTTTTCAGGAGCATTATCTTTAAGCTTGCAACAATATTACCAAGGTTTAACAAATGAGAATTGGAATAAAAATTACTTCTATTAGCACAGGCCTTCTATTTAAGCAAAAAGTTGCACCAATTTAACTGATCCATACTCAATTATTAAATACAACCACAATGATTAAGGAATTTTCAAGTACAGTTGAGTCTGCATCCACAAAGATCCTTGAAACATCCCAGCAGGTGAGTAAATATTTTTGAAAAATAAATGTTGAGTCAGTGTATGCAGGTGAAATGTTTTTCAGATGCAGCCACCAATGAGAAGTGTGGCTGTTCGCAGTCTCCTGCTCAAACCCACCCATTCTGGTTTCGAGATGGACAAATAACGCCAATTTGCATTTGCTGGTCAGGCCAACATCCACAAGTATAAAAGTGCACCCTTTAAAAGAAAGTCTTTATGAAGACTTACACTATGGTAAATTGGCCAAAAGCAAATCAAAGCAGAAGGTGAAAATGTGACACAAGCTTATGCAAAGAAAGCAGGAAAAAAAGCTACTGCTTTTATAAATAAAGAAGACCCATGGAAGTAATGAGTGTTTGAAAAGCCTGGAAACCACCAGTGCTCTGCGTTTCTTGTTTTTCTCAGTTTCTGCTCGGCAGTCAGCAGCCCCCAGCACATGACAAACTCGTCAGGGCCTATTTTTGGGTAGGCCTCCGTCTCCTTACGTCTAAAAACGTGTATACCCAATACTGCACCTACGTTTTGTTTTAGACTTTGTTAACGCTTTTCGCACCCTAGAGTGCAGCAGAAAAGCCAGAGCACTTCACTGCCCCTCAAAACAAAACCACATCAGCGCCTCAGAACCGCTGTCTCCATCCTGAGAGCGTCCCTTGGGTAAAACGCGATGCCCAGAGCACTTTAAAGGCCTTTTAGGACACCCATACTCTGCACGGCATTTCCCACAAATTCCATCTCGGGTCTTCTCCCTGCCACAGGAGCCTGAATTTAACCAGGAGCTCAGGGACCCGCTTGTCTCAGATCCCCAGAAGGTGCCAGGACCAGCAGGCAGACACCACAAACCTGACTCACCGAGCCTGATTTCTGTATTTATTTATTTTTATCTCTCCCCTGTTCCTTTCTTCCCCCGAGGCCTCGCTCACCAACACTCCCTTTTTATCTACAAACCCCCCAACCCCAGGGATCTCACCCCAAAACCTTCCCACCCCACCGCCCCCACTGGGCCCCAGCGCTCAGGGCAGGCCCCACCGAGCCCCCCCGCGTTGCCAGGCCCCGTGCCAGCCTCACCCCCGTTCCCCCAAACCGGGCCGAGCCCTGACAGAGCCCCCCCGGTGCCGGGGCTGAGGGGACCGGGGACCGGCGGCGGCTGCGCCTCACCTTTAACGTCCCCAGGCCAGCGCCCGCCAGGTGGGGGCGAAGGCGATGCAGTGACCGCAGGACGAGCTGTAGAACTGCACCACCCAGGTCCGCCGAGGAGTTAAGCAGAGCCCTACGCACCGTAGAGGCCGTCAGCACGGTCAACGGGTCCTCCCCGGCCCGGTACAACCGCGCCGTCACCGCCGCCAACGCCGCCGCCAGCAGCAGCAGCGGCACCGCCAGCGGGCGGCCGCTGCCCGCCGCCATCTTGGGAGGCCGGCGGCCAGGGGCGGGGCCCGCGCCCTAGCAACGCGGCCGGCCCTAGCAACGCGGCCTAGCGGCCGCAGCGCCCGCCCGAAGCCCGCGGGGGGGGATCCCCCCGCAATGGGAGGGGGGTGGCTGCAGCCCCGCTCGGCCAAACGGGCTCCGAAAGGGTTAGGGGAGCGGGTGTTGTCTCGCCCGGGGTGGACGCAGGTCCGCTGAGGGCCTGGGGTAGGGTGAGGGAGGGGGAGATCGCTCCCCGGTGCCCCCTGCTGCGGTGCGAAGCTGTGGGTGCTGTGTTGGGATCCGCGTGTCCCGTAGGGCTCCCTAAGGGAACGGGTGGGATGAAGAAGTAGGTTAAAGCAGTGCTTTAAATGCTCGGTGGGTGGTTTTAACACGCAGGCGAGCCGCTGCAGGAACTAAATCGCGGCCTCACCGAGCCGGGCGCTGGGTTGAAGGCAGCGCAGCCTCGCACTGAGCCGTGGCGGCAGGAGGGGGACAGCTCTCTTCAAAGCAGGAGCCGGTAAAAAGCTGCACGTAGGATGCTGTGAGTCTGACAAGCTGCTAGATGCTGTCCTTTACTTGAGATTGCTTGTGAGCCGGGAATGCATTTTAGCTCCTCGTACAGCTATAGCCACGGTACGAAGGGCTCTTCTCAGTTGTAAATACAGGGTTAAGAAATTTCATTTCGTTAGCAGAGGCAGAAAAACAACAGAGAACGTCCCCAGAGGAAGAATTCAGTGGAGTTTAAGGGGATGACAAAAGGCTAACGTCCCCTAAAAGTTAATTCTTGCTTCCTTTACACACAAACAGTACCTTCAATCCTTCAAGACCAAATAGAAAACAAATGAGTCTAAATTCTTACTTCATGCACTCTGCTGTAAATTCAGAGGTGAGAATCTGGTTTATGATCATTTATGGCCAGCACTACACAAACAGTGTAAGAGTAGGAATCTCACACGCAGTAAAAATCCTCTCGTCTGAGAACTGAGTAGCAGATTCTGCCACGCTTACCTATTTTTTCCCTGATTATGTCTTTTCTTGACCATTAATGTCTAAAGTTGTTCAGGCACATAGCTTTTGTGTCCATATTCACAACACGAGTTATTTGTTTCCTTGTATTACCTTCCATTTGAGGGGTTTTCCATCTCTATTTTTCCTACCTTCTATAAGTAACAAAATGAGACGGTTACAGTGGTGGAATCCAAATACATTAAAGCAATGGAAAATCTTGTGGCAGCTGCTAATTAGGATTTTAAAATCGGCAGTGTGTAAGGTATTTTAGAGTGCATTTTATTCAGAAGAATTATTAAATGTGTGAAGATGAAAGAGATGGATTACAGGAAAATTAAATGTAGGGTTTAACTGAGAAATAATCATTTTCTATGAAAGATAATGACTCCTCTTGAGGCTAGTATCAAGATTTATTGACCTAGGAGGTTAATATTGATCAAAACCAAGGCAAACAAAATATTAGACCTTGAAGTAGAGTAATCTTGATATTGAAGTCTTGCCGCTGACTGAACAGGTCAATATATCTGGGTGCCAGAATCTAAGGTTTTGAACACATAATGGTGGGGGATATTAAATATGTCTGACATGTTCTACGCGTACACTTTTTATTCTCATCAGCAGTAGTTACTTTATGGCTATGTCCTTCTGTATATAGCTATCTTGCAAGGGTTCAGGCTTCACTCACAGCCTGAGTTGCAAACATAATGGTTATCTTCCTCCAGTGTAACATATAGCAGTCTGAAATTAAACAAGTCCTTCATCTATTCATTCACACATATAAATGATATTTTTAATAGCTTTCATTCCAAATACACAACAAGGATCCTGGTGCTGCTGCTGCAGAACCACGGCAACAACAAACTGAAAATCTGTAGCGCTTCAATATATAGATCTGTCATTGTATCCAACAATTTGTCTATAAGTCCAGGGAAAAAAAGCATTGAATTAAATTCTACCATAAGCTGACAAGACGAAAGCATTAATCTTAGAACAAATAAGTTATCTGGATTAATTAATCAATGAGGATAAAGGTCATGAGGGTGGTAATTCTCACCTAAGAAGGAAGAGCTCAGTTAATGCTGTATCTCAGCAGTGCCATCAGCTGCAGGGTCTTACCAGAGGTTCTCAAACCAGGAGAGTCAAGGCTTCAAGTACAGCACCAAAGTCAGTTAATCAGTTAAGGAAGAGTGCAGCTGAGTCTTTATCTTTACCAGCAGAAGGGATACAACCTTTGCAGAAGACTAGAGCCCAAGCTCAGCATGTAAAATCTTCCAGACTATATCAATCAGTTAGGAATAAATTTTTACAATGTATGTCAGGCTTCTTAGAAAAGGTAGGACTTGGGACATGAAACTAGTTTACAGGATATGATCAATAGTTAATGTGCTTGGAACACAAGTTACCTTTTTATTTCTGTTCATAGGGCAGCTAGTGTGACAGATCCTTAGGCCATTAAAAAGCACTATTTCTAAAAACAATAGAACAAATCCCATTCACTCATGGGAACAGCAATATGTACAATATAATCTGAAGTCAAAATTTCAGTAAAAATAAGAGACACAGAGGATTTTTGTTTATTCAGAAAACAATTCAATATGAAAACAAGTAAACCATCAGTACTTAAAAACAGAAACAAAGTGCCTTTCAATTTTTAAAAATCATATTAATTGTCCTGCTTTTCATTTGAAAGACTCCCTGAAGGAAGGGGATTTAAATAAATCTACTTCTATTCAATTATTTAGTAATGAAAAAATTCTGAATGCCATTACGTATATTTGTTTTAAACATTAATACAAATTTATCATTAGTCTTAATGCAAAATAGGTAAGAGCACAGTACTATACATTGTTAAAAATTAGCATATTTGGGGAATGCTTACATTTCCTTCTTCAAATCTTGATTTATTTTTTTTCCCATTTTACGAATACAAAATAAAATAGGGATGTTTTCTTCTGATTTGCCAGTTAAAGTACATCCTCAGGTGTTTAAACTGTGTTGGAGTTCAAAGGGCCCATATGAATTCCATGATAAGGAATGTAATCAAATGCACATATTTATTATTCAGAAATTGAAGTTACTGGTAGAAAAGCATCCATTTAAAGTGCATTACATCAGTATATGTCTCATTTACATGATGTTATAGACATTAGAACTGAATGTTTGGCTGTAGATCCTGCCATATGCCACATCTCTCAAGTCATCTCTGGGCTAATTTAAAACCATTCCACAGGGTGTAAAAAAATGGTCATTTTTTTCCTCAGTCACCTTTGTTATGCTGTTTAACCCATTAGGAAAAGTTGTAGACATGATCCAGTTGGAAGAGTTCATTCCAAAAGACAGAGGTCCATAGCAATTCAATTTCTGGGAGACTTAATTCCCTCTGTACCCATATGCTCTAAAAACATTGATTTTCCAAACAGTATTCTCAAAACATAATTTTCATCATCATTCACCATCAGAACACTGATAACAAAATAAAATCATTTACACACAAATTGTTTTTGAACTGTTTGTATAACCATAGACTCCTATACAATTTTAAACACATATGATGCTCTTAAAAATGCGTAGGTGAATAAAGTGCCATCTTGATTAAAAAACAGACAAGAATAAAATTTCCACCACTTAGATTCCAAATAACATTAGTCTAAGAAGAACATTGATCTTAATGAGCATTCCCAGAGCTCAGAACTCAAGAAGAATATTTTATGTGATATTTTTTCTACGTGCTTACATCGCTGCTTGCATCCTTTAATTGTAAATATGAATGTAAAACTGGTATTAGGTACAGTTCAGAATTAAAATTCTTAATCATGTATTCTTGCCTTAAAAATCAGGGACTAAAATTCCACCATTAGGGAAAAACTTCTTATCACAGGCTTTTCTCAGATAAATCTTATTAAGAACTCCGATTGTATCAAGGATCAAGCTATCAAATATTCTTTCAGTCATTCTCATCTTCACAGTTAATTCGTCATCATCATAGTAAGTCCACTGAGATTCTTCTTTGCGGAGCTCCTGAATCTAAAATACAACATGGATATGAATGTTTACTTGAAGAACAAGAGCATGGTCAGTTCTAAGAGGCAATAAGAAGCTGTGCCTAATCAGACAATTTATATATGCAAAATCCACTCAAACCACTCAAAAATAGAAAAATACTAGGTTATTACTGCAAGTGTAACAAAAAGGAAGACAATAACTCGAATTTCTAGTTACTTTTTTAAGTAAATATGATTCTCATAAAAAACATGAAAATTTCTAGTTTAAACCTAAAGTAAACAAATGTCTATCTGGATGTCTGCTTACCAGAATAAGGTCCACTCTGTCTCTCTCACAGTTTCCATACTTGGTCATATTAAGAATTTTTCTTTTCATTTCTAAGTCATTCTTTTCCAGGTTCATTATTTTAATAACTTCACCCTGAACAAATGCCTACAAAATAAGAGAGGCTGAAAAGAATTATTCTCGTTGGAAACCTATCATTGTGAAGTTTGCAAATGAGTGACAGGGGCTAATGTCAAGATCCAGTTTCCAATCTAGAAACACCCTGGTGTTTGGGGAACAGAACTAGATGTAGCTAAGTAGTACTGACCAACCAATACATTTTAAACATAAGATTACTTTAGAGGTTACACCTAAGATCATCATAACCACAGAGATTTAGAAGTCCATTCCTCTACAGAACTCCATGCACTTGGAATACTTAGCCTAACAAATCAGCTCAGTCTGTATTTATTCAGGCATTTCAGATCAATGCTGTTTTCTTCTCTGATCACCTCAGTTGTAAATGCTATCGCCCTCCCAATGTCTTTGCCATTGCGTCACTGCAATGTCTGCTCCCTTCACTGACTCTTATTGTGGTGCACTTTGCATTTCCAGAATTTACCTTGACCTCATTGACATCTGCACTTCTGCAATGACATCTGGAACAGCGAGATCCCAAATTTTCTTTTAACCATGGAAGTCTATTTGGATTTGCAGTTACTTGATACTCTGTGCATAGCACCTCACGAGTCAAATCAAATATAACCTGTAACAACCAAAACAGTACCAAACTGAGTACTGACTCTGATACCCTTTCAAAAGTTTTTATTTTTCATTGAACAGTAAGAAAGGCTGCTGACAATATTTGGTCTTATGAACGAAGAGCTCTAGCAAAAGGCTTGCATCACAGCGAGGATATCTGTCTTACTAAAATTATTTCACAGTTGATTAAAAGCAGCAATATATTTTGCAATAACACTTTCAGTGTTCCTTTACAATATTTAGTATTAGCAGCTAGAATAATAGTAAGCAGTAGCTAATATGATTCAGGCTACAGAATATTAGGAAAAAATTAGTAACTGTTTTTAAAATACCTGATTATACATCCTCTTGCTTTCTGTTTCCAAATGATTCCCCGAGAAATTACATTCAAAATGCTTTGGCACACTAATTCTCTTGAAATTTGAATATATGTTTTCTGGAGTCCATAATTCTTCTACAGCAGATGCAGATAATTTTTTAACATATGAACTGTGATGTGGTACCACAAGAGGAACCTCCACAGTTTTTTTCCAAGGAGCTGAGTGCCACCGATCCGATTTGTACAAGTACTGCTTTTGTGTTTGTCTTTCTAGGGCATGTCCATCAGAATTAGGCTGATCAAAATCTTCAGAGCTTCCAAAAACACCCGCATCAAGGATTTTTATAAGGAACTTCAGTAAGGAGAAAAAGAAAAAACAGGTGACATACACCATATTTTTCCACAATTTTAGAGCTATTGAAATTAGCAAATTATTTAAGGTTGCACTTAAAACTAAGGAATCAGATTCTTTTACTCATGCGCTCAAAACAACTGGGCAACAGAAATGCTTGCCTGTGTAGACCCAATTTCAGGTTGAACACTCAGACAAACTTTGACTCTTACTTACAGGCAAAGTGGTTGGAGAGGTCTCTGAAGATGAATGAAATATCTTGTATGCTTTTGCTCCATGTTTTCTTTTAATCTTCTTATATTCTTTAACTGCATCATCTACAAATTTAGTCACAATTCTTTCTGCTACTGTGTGACAGCCATGAATGCTAAGCATGTTGAAGTCACACAGTAGAACATCAGAAACCTTTGCTGATTGCTCAGATAAGCTAGCAACTGAATTGTCTTTGACGAGAAACAGTTTCAGATCGTCTTCTTGTCTTAGGCCTTTGCCATAATTCGTAATGTCTTTTTCAAAGGCACTTTTATATTTATGTTGATCTGTTTCAACAAATGCAATTAATGTGTCAAACAGAAGTTTATTGAGTTCACCTGTGGTATCATCAGTAAGTGTATTTCTTTTCTGATCCTCTAACAAGCAACAAATATTTTTGCTTGTGTTTACCCCATCTCTGCTGCTGATCTTATTTTTCTTTAGAAGCACATCTGCAAGCATGCCTTGTTTTATTTGGGTAACTTCTGTTTTTTCTTTATCTGACCCCAAGCACATTAAGTTATTTTGACAAAGGAATTCATTACACTTACACTGGTCAGAATGTGTGAACTTCTGACCTTTTCCAGGCAGCAAGGCAACGTGTAACCTAGACTGGTTTTCTGGCATTTCTGATCCTCCTGCGCTTTTTGTGTCTTCAGTGTTCTGCTCTGTTACCCCTGTGCCCTGTTCATCAGCTTCAGGGTATTTGCAGTCTCTTTTGAAGGATTCATCATCATAGGAGGAGTCTGAGTCTTCATGCCCAGTGTTACTGGAACCGTTGTTGTTATCCTCCAAGAGGTGTGAAATCTCATTAGGTCTGACAAAGATACCACAGTGCTGAGCACACTCAAAATACTTCACCCCTTTGTAAGTTCCAGCATGATCACCTTCAGCTTTGTCAAGTGCAACACCCGCCCAATGGCCACAAGTCAAAACAAGTCCGGCCTTTGAACATGAGGGTTCCAGGCTGGGTCTGCTTTACTAACACTCTGTCCCCAATTTCAAATGATGACAATGGGTCATCACCATCCTCTTCAGCTTTGAGTAGTGTTAAGTATGTTCCGCATTGATTCATCATGGAATCAGGATTTTTACTGGCCTGACCAGAAGAAATGGGGTTTGACACAGGCAGACACTCCAAATACTGTAAAGGTGTCTCATGTCCTCCTTCTCGGTATTCTGATAGTTCTTGTGCAAAGGGGGACTTATCTTCTTTAACTAAAGATTGTTCTGAGACATTCCTATCCTGCCTTGAAAAAACATCAGTTGGCTCTCGACTGAGCAGGGGAAATTCTTCAGGCATGATGTTATCAAGTAATGGGGGTAATGCATCTGTTCGCAGTGATATATCTTCATCCATACACTGTCTAGTCTCTGAGACTGTCATTTGTTCTGGTGGAGATGGGAAATCATCCATACTAAAGCTAGAATCATCATTTTTCATTGCATTTACACCTAAAGGGGGAGGAGGAAGATCTTCACTTGGAAATGACAAATCCTTTTTATTAGAGGATGGCAAGTCAGCACTTCCATAGGACAGCACTTCATCAACAGGAGACAGTATTTCTGACAAGGTGTCCTCATCAGCTGGAGGGAGGCCCTCATCACTAATAAAAATTGTATCATCTTCACCTTTGGAAGAGCACTTCTCAGCTTGAAATAGTTGCTTTTTTGAGGAGTTGGAAGCAAAACCCTTCCCCAATTCCTTTGTGTCTTGCCTTTCAGTTTTTGAATGATTTTGATTTCCTGGGGCCACCCTTTGCAAAGACTCAAACAAGTAGGCTTCTGTATGTACTTCCTCAGAAATTCCTTGCACAGACATGGGCAGAGATACAATCTTATCAAGTTTTCTGGATGCAAGGCTCTCATTCAAAAGCTGTGCGTGATTATTTTGCACTGCTGCATTTCTGGAAGACAGACATGCTACTAATTTACCATTTGTAATATCTTTGTCAGGGGGAAAAGAGACCGTGCTAGTGAACTGGTCAGTAGCCAAATCTAGATGTTCCAAAGAATCCATCAGAATAAGCTGCTTTTGCTCTGTGCTGTGATCCATAAATAAACTGTTAATTTCACCATCCTTTTTCACTCTGCTAGTTGTGGAAGTAGGCTCCTGCTGTTCATAGATCTTAAGTAGGTAAACACCATCACTGCCCAAAGAGCTGGCAGCTGCATCTTCTGAGTTTTCTGAGGCTTCCAAACTTGGCTTATCCATTTCCTTGGCTGGTTTTTCAAACTGGAAGGGATCCATTGGCTTTGTTTTGAAGGTATTTGCCTTGTCTGTGGGAAGGCAAGGAAGCAAATGATCAGGGCACCCGTGATCTGAAGCCTTTCCAGGGCATTTCTGGGAGATCTGAAAGAGTGATGAAATCTTAGTGTTGTTGTCCTCTGTGGGTGCTTCATGTTCATTACGTTTGTCACTGCATAATGTTTCTTTTCCAATACTTGCTGCTATTGGCATCTCTTTTGAAGTAGTCAGAAAATGCATCATTGTCATCATAGATAAACTCTTCTGGGATGCTGACATCTGCGTCCTTTCCATTTTTCACCTCTGATTCAGAGTCTGAGGTAGAGCCTTCAGAGATGTCAATCCAAACTGCAGACACTTTCTGAAATTCTGAGAGAGAAGAGTCTGATTTGGCACTTTCACATCTTGGAGAGAAGTCCTTTGACTTGGGCGATGACTCAGCAGGATCTAATCCTTTGCAAAACACTTCTAAAGTTAGTTCTTCATCAGAAGCTTCATGAGAATTATGGTTCAAAGGCTTCAAACATGGACTTCCATCCATGCGATGGATCTCACAAGGGGAAGACACTTCCATTTCTTTAACTGGAGCATCTAAAAAATAATTTCAGAGAAGTATTTGATAGAAGTGCTGATAGTTAACTTCTGATTCAGATCTGGTAGTCCTCAGCAGTGAATTGCATTCAAAAGTCAGCAGTGTTAAATGCTGAGTCAACTTGAAGATTGTTTTTAATATCAAATCATACAAAAAATAAATAAGACATCAAATAAAGATGAAGAAATCATTAACTTAGTAAACAAGCTAACACAGTGGTGTCCAAGGTAGTTGATAAGAAAGGTTTGAATGTAGGGTGTACGTTAAGATCTTTATTATTTTAGCCCAAAGAGCAACTTCACTGCCTGGTACAGGCAGCAGACTATTATCCTCTATGAATAACTCCAGGAAGAATTATTACTCAGATTATAAATTAAGTAAATGTAGAAGGCGTGTTGGGAAAAGGCACTTCCTACCTTCTGAAGACAGAATTTCAGAAGGTGCTTTTTCATTCATATGCACAACTTCTGCTTTTCTCTCGGAGTCTGGGCTAACCCTGAAAACACCACATTGTAATTAGGATAAAACTGAAGTTACAAAGTGAAGGCACTCAGTGGCATTCAAGAACGTTGGTGTAGAACATCATATTTCTTTGGGTGTATTTGCTTATCTACAGACAGCATAATGCAAAATGCCTTGTTTTTAGTTGTTACTGCTGATGCTTTCTGTCTAGCCCAGTCTTCTGAAAAGACGACGACTTCTTTTCCAAGTTGATTTCAACATACCTTCAGCTGACTCCAAAAAATTAGACATCCGAAGAAAAATTGGCAGCCAATATTTGATTAACATGGCATGTATTAAATATTATTAGTTTGTGAGAGCTTCCCCCCCCCCCCCCCTTTTTATTTTTTTATATATATTTTTAAAGGTTTTACAAGACAAACTAAGTCCCAGGTTAAGGTCATTATAGCCTGCCTCCCCCCTTTCCACAACAGAACCGACTGTGGGCATTAAACCCAAACAAGGCAACATTTGACACATCGACAAGAAGCAGAATGTACGGCAGGTGGTCTTGACCTTGACAGATCTCGTACCTCTGCTGCTCCTGTAGTGAGTTTTCCTTCCTTAACTGCGTTTTCACTACCGTAGCTTCATTGGAAATCAGTGCTGACCTTCTTTCATTATCTTCAGTGTCAAAAGAAGGATCTTTCTTCTGTGTCTGAGTCTGAAGAGACTATGATCAAGAATCACTAAGTATGCAGGAAAACTGAAGAATGCCAATGAATTGCTATTGAAATTCCCCCAGATTTAAGGGCAATATTTTAGCTCAGTACAACAAAACCTCATACAGCTTCAGCTTCTCAATGCGCAAGCTGAGTTCCAAGTGTAATATCTCCATGACAGCCAATACTGAGGATTTCTTCTGATGAAAATTTAGGTGAGAAAAACAGTTAAGATAAAACTATAAGCTTGCCGCATACCTGAAACGGACAGGAGCCCTGCCCTTCTCTTGGAGTTGTGTGACTTCTCTGCTCCCCATGTACTTTCTCCACTGTCAGAGAATCATTCTCTTGATCTTCTATTAAGGATGGTGCATCATCACCTGAAACACAGGTTACTCAGAAAACAAATACAAGGTTCTCCATCACCTCAGTCACACTAAGTGCCACGACTAAAACAATCTAAGGCTTACTACTAGAGTTCATGTCACCTCTGCACTCACACTCTAGGTTATGAAAGAGCATGAGACTCCTGCCAAATACAAAAATAAAGTCAAAACACTAACGGTGAAATTGTAATCCACTGAAATCCATGGGAAGCTCTCTCTTTACCTGAGGGACAAGTTTTATATCAGACAGTTTGCTGTCCACACGCTAAGAGCAAGGCTTGAGAATCCAGTAAGTGTGCAGCCTCTGCAGAACTTTTATCATCAAGACCATTTTTACTAACTCTTAGTTACAGACTAAGTGAGTCTCACTCACTATGGTATCTAGGAGTAGATGCAGAAGAGTAGCTAATTAGAAAAACAAAAATATGAAATATTACCACAAAATGCAAGTATTTAATAATACAGAGATTATGCATACCCAGAACTCTATAAATTATATAACTGGCTCATATATAACAGCCAGTTTTATTTTTATATGTTGTACTGAGAGCAAGAAATATGAACTGAGAATAAAACCTGGAAACAAAAATAACTGCAGCATGCACTGTTGAAGTCTATATTCAACTGATCTATGTTCTTTTAAAGTGAACACCCTTAAATTATTTAAAAAATGCCTCAAAAGAAAGTAAATTGTTAATGACACAATCAGAATAAGTTATGATTTTGTTCTGAGGAAGCAGTGTAATCATATCTCATAATAAACCTTAGCGAGATCTCCACCATCTTACCTAGCAGTGATTTATACTTTAGGTATAGTGAGCAAGACACTTCAGTAATAAATGAGAAGATTGTCTCTCTTTCTGTCTGGATTAAAGTTTGATTGAAGTGGTTGAAACAGATTGGACATAATAGCATTAAATATGATTTACCTGTTTCTTGAGGAATATTTTCTGTCTGAGCCTGACATAAGTTACACAATGTAGTAAGCATCCCCAAGTTTTTCACTGTAAACTTGCTGAAACATGGATTAATATCTTCATTATCTTTAGGTTCTATCTTTGCATTTGAAACAAATGCCTTTTCCTTCAGCACAGATTCCTAGAGCATAAATATGCAAGAGATAGAATTAACATCCTAAGGAAAAGGGACTTTGCTCTTAGCAGACTGGCACAGAGATCAGAGATTGAATCTACTTTTGCACTAGTCTTCATCTAAATGTCAGCATATACAGGCTCAAAATATAAGTGTGTATACATGTACACTCTCTTTAGGGTAGTGTCACTGACGTAGGAAATAAGAAAGGAACTAGTGATAGTGATAGGAAGTCAGCCCATGTGAAAAATAAGTGTTTAGCTGAAGCATCTTGTGCTGGTCCTGTCTTAAGGCAGGTATAACCTGGGACACCATTACTTTAAGCAGAAGTGGAATTCCAGAGGTGATTTTTCTTACCGGAATCACACACTTTCTGCCTTCTATTGTAGTGGATGTGGCTATAGCTTCATCCGTTCCAGCTGAATTTACACGTTCCAGATGTAATAAAATGTGATCCTGAGCATGAAGTTCTGAAAGGTTACAACTTGAAGTTACAATATTTGAAGATTTGCATTTTTTTCCCCATGAGTAAATTGACTACCATCTTTTGTTTAACTAAGTCAGAAATGCTTATCTAAGATGTTTATAGTTTGAATAATTTTATTTTTGCCCTACACATCCCTTGTCACTCCAACAGAAGCTGAAAGGAGCAATGACCTTATTCATCTAATCATCACCTTTCTTATCTTCTCCTTACATAATAGCAACTATAATGCCCACTTCCAGATATTTCTACACACGCTCTTTTTGTCTGTACACAGATAGTAAGTACCTCAACAAGACAATTTACATCTTTGTTACACCTGCTTGCTAATCCTGAATAGATCCTGATACCAAAACCCACACTGGAGGTGACCAAGGAACAGAGTAGCACCACAAGTTCTCTCTCATAGGCTAATCAGCTTGACAGTCCTCAACTCATTTGAGCTGCTCCAGAAAACAGCTGAGATTTCAACTTTTGCTCTAAGTCATTTAATTTGGCTAACTGTTCACAGTAGGCTACAGAAGTCTTCTCAGAAGTCTTTTATGTTGGGTACCTGTGGTTTTGCAGTCTTTAATCATGAAGACCAAGCCTGTGGTTTGACTGGTGGCATCACACACTTTCCTGGTCACTGTTCCAGACACATCAGGACCTTGCAGGACAAGGGACTGCTCCAAACTTGGGGAATTCTCTGCCCATTTCTGATGTTGTACTGGTGTTTTCTTGTTCTCAGAAAAGCTGTAGACAATTAGACAAGGAATTAATGATTGGGAGTTGTTTTCATGTCCTCTTGTTAATCATGACAAATCTATGCAAAGTCAATAAAGGTATGAATTAAATGATTCTGGTAGCCCTTGACAGTAACTGTAGAGTGTTTGCATGTGCATAAGTTTATAAAACAGCAAATTATTTCTCTGTTCTCCTTCATCTCACAATACACTATTTTATAAAGCCGGGTATCTTGTCTTTATAGACAAGAATAGGAAAAGACCAAAAAAAGTCATCGGCACTGAAAAAGCAAAAATAGTCATACTCTGAACCTGAACGATGCTAGCTTGTCTATTTATAATAATAATTGCAAGCTCTGTATTCCTTGTTTGTAGTATTTAATATCTATTAATGAAACTCCAAACCAGCAGCTTTTCCTGCATGTTGGCAATTTATTTATTGTTTTGGTTCACTTTTATTTTACAAGCATCTCCCAACCCCTTCCATTCCCTTACAGCCCTGCTTATTAACTGCCTTCCTGATCAGTGTAAAATATTAACATACCCGCACTGGTGGATAGATGGCATAATTATCACTCTACACAGGAAACAGATCTATATGTAATAACACAGCAGCCAGAGTTTGGGTGCATTGAGCTCCGCCAGGCCCTGTCTGCTCTAGACTTCCTCTAATATTCACTGTTCTCCTATGAGTAGGCTTGTCAATAATAAGAAGTGAAAGCACAGCCAAGAAACCTTTTAAAGATTCTTGTGACTTATAATCAATAACACCATGAATTATAGATCAGCTCCATGCAGGGATTTATTTGAAAGCCTTTCCCTGTGGGGAACTTAAGTAAATGCGCAGCCCTGACTCACCAGTCTGCAAAGGGTCTGGGTAATACCGAATGAAAGGAGTTTTTAATTCATGTAGATATATATTTGACTTCAATTGTGTCTCTTTCTGTATACTATGTTTGTTCATCTGAGCTTGTTTTGGACAATTGCTGTTTTGAGCAGTGTGCATACTGCTGGGTCCTCATCTGCACTGCTCAAGGTGAAGCAAATTGGGATGTTGGGGATACAGCATCTGGGGAAGGGGAGGCCAATGATTTCTCAGAACTGTCTCAAACTCCTGAATTACATCTGACTGAGGGTATTTTACATGACACCTCTAAGCTTCAATTTAAACATAAAATTAAGCCCCAAGTAGTACAAGAGCCTCCCGTGATTAAATCCCAAGTGGAACACAAACCTGCCCCTAAGGGGTTAAGTGATACATAGGCTTAGAGCCAGCAGATGCAAAGGAGTGAATTTCACCAATTAAATCAATACATTTCTACTCATTTCATATGGGTATTTTGAAGTTTAATTAACATATAGTTGCAAAGTGCTTCAGGTTTGTAGTTAAAAGCCATCATGGAAGTGTGAGTTATCATTAAATGTTGTATGGCATCATTACAAAATATCCAGGTTATTAATGCTATGTAAATTAACTGGCCTAGGTCTGATGTCAAAGCTACATTTGTTCCTAATATTACGGTGGTAGGTCCCAGTCCCACAGACTTAGACACTGCTTAACAGTTCATACTATAGATAATCCTAGTGAAATGTCATACCTATATGCACAAAAATGCAGCTTAAAAATGAATATGTAAAGCCTGCAAAGATTTCTCAAAGCATGGAGGATTGTCTCTGTACTCTTGCATTCAATGAGACATTCTAATGAAAGCACAATGGCCTGGAGAACAAATATTGCTCAACCTTTTACACACAGAATTAAAAGTTTATTACCTAGTACAGCCCTTTCCACTCCTTCTCATGTGCAGTCAGTTTATGATGGCAGATCAACATGGCTTTTTTGTGCATGAAACAGGCTTGTTGAATTTGTAATGATAAATCCAAACCACAGTACTACATGATTACATGTGTATATATACACTCTCCAAAATTCAGGCTCAGATTTTGCATGTTCTATTGAAGGAGCTAGTGTTTGTGATATAAAACAGAACTGAGATTATAACGCTGCTGCCTTTGTAACACCAGGAAGGGGTATAGGAGGGGTGCGTATGAACATTAGAAGGAATCACTGATTTAGCCCAGCTGTACTGTTTATAATGACTCAAATACCTTTCCTGCAAAATCCAAAATTTCAGTTAAAACACTTTCCCTCCCCATGCACAGAAGAGCACTTAATCTTCTTAAAGGGTAGAAAAATCTGAAAAAAAAATACACTTGTTCTTATTGATAATATGGAAATGGTAAATGTGTTCTACCTGAACAGTTTAGCAAGTGGTAGGTAGAGGATCTCCAGGTATTGATCCAGATTTAAATTTACTTGGTTTTGTTCACATACCTTGCAATAAGCTGGTACCTGCCCCAAGGAGCTTACTGTTTTAGACATGAGACGGTGGATTGGACAGGTAGAGGACGCCGATCAATGAGACAGTATCGGTCAGAATGTTAAGCAGCGATCTTGATGCATCAATTGCTTGACCACAGAGGTTTTCAAAACTTGTCATTATAAAACTCCCTCTTGGGACCATTTAAAGCTCACACAATTATCTAGGCTATAACTGCTTCTGTCTTCTCTACTGGATTGTTTTTTGTCTTCAGTTATCACTGTGGAAAGGGTTGTACTTACCTATCATACTTCTTGCTTTGTTCATTCCTTAGCTGGGCACAATTCTTTTTATCCCCAGTCATATCAGGCCTTTCTGAGCATGCTGTAGATTCTGCCAAGGAGTTGAACTTTGAGCTTGAAATCTGTCTTGTCTTTGGCTTATTTGCTTCTTCAGTTGCTGGGCTCCTTGTAAGCTAAAAGGAAAAGGATAGTGCGTAAGTTTTCACCTGGGTTCCTTAGTTGCAGTGTCAGTTCTTCTGACTTCAGTCAGAACAAACACACACACACAAAAGATCTTGTAACAGCCTCATTAAGACAGCAAAAGTAATCAAAGGGCTATGACTGAGTTTAGTGGTAACAACCTTAGGTGAGAATTGAATGTTTTGAAAGCATTGAAGTACCACTGCAGATCCAGGTAAGAACCTCTTATGTAAGAATCGTTGTCTTAGATTCCATTGAAATAGTGAAAAACAGTAATCCTTATGAGACTAAGGCCAGAAATTCTGTGTGTTACAGTCTGAGGAAGGGCTAACCCTACAACTAAAAGCTATCACTTCTAAAGTGACTTAACCTTTTTCTTCCCAGTCAAATTATGCAGCTCTTCCTGGAGCTGTGCTGTTGAATGCTGCATCATTAAGATTTCTCTTTGCTGCTTTAGTAAAAGCTTCCTTTCTTGATGGGCTGCCCTGTAGAGATTTTGCAGGTGCTGTATTTCTACCTAAACAAAGCAGAAAAAGGAAGGAGTATAAGAGCAAAGATAGCAGAAAAGAGATATACTTTAAAAAAACATGTCTGGTATTCATTAACATAAGGCAATACTGCTCTTAAAGCATCCAGAGAATTTTGCTCCAGCCACGTCCCAGTGTTGCATCCTTCCACCACACAACACAAGAGGAAGCCTGGCTCCTCTTGCTGTAGCGTTACCTGCTCCTGTTCCAGCTCTGTTAAAATTTTGTGCTGCTTCTCAGCCACAGCAGAGGCTCCCTTACTGTCCTGCAGGCTTTCCAGGCAGCTGAAAACCAGATAAAGACAGGTATCAGAGTCAGATCATTTATTGCAATGAGCATAAGTCTTGAAAAAAAAACAAGGGACAGGAGCAAAGCTTCTCTCTAAACAGCCCTCAAGCAGCAGTAGCCATGGAAGGCTCTGTAGCAGTTCTGCTGGGCTTTGAGGACACCCAGGGCCACCCAGCCTGGAACTCTGAGGTGTTTTGGGCCTCCTCGGGACATCCAGTGCAGGGTACCAACTGGTGAGGGTCCCCAGCAGGGCCTCAGCCCACCCGGTGGGCTCTGCCCTCAGCCCCAGCGGGCTTCACCCATCACTGAGGGACACCTCACACCACACCTGAGGGAGGCCGCAGCAGCCGTGTCTTCCATGGTCTGAAAGGAAGACTGCACAAGCTCCTCTCCTTAAGAGAGAGGGATTTTGTACTTGTTCCTTTCCCCCAAAACTAGTCAGTGTCCAGCCGCTCCCCCATGGACCCGTCCCCTCACAGAGACCCCAGGGCAGGCTTGTGGTGACCTGCCCCCGGCCTCACCGCTTCTGGTGGCCCAGCCAGGCCAGCTCAGCCCTGGCTTTTGCCCGGAGAGCTTTTCTGCGGAGCTTGAGGAGGGCAGCCTGGTGTCGAGCTCGCAGCTCCTCTCCCCTCAGGCACTGCTCCGCCATGGCCAGGCTGAAGCGGCGGAAGGTGCTGGAGCTTCCATAGTGCCGGCCGACCTCACTCCACTGGGGACAGACAGAGCAGAGCACCACAGTGACTGGAGAACCGCTGTGCAAGTGGCAAAACAAACAAAAAATAAAAACTAGGAACGTCCTGCAGGCCAGCAGCAGGGCTGGGGTTACCTGGCTGTCCAAGCTGGCCTGGTCACTGCTCTCTGCAGAGCCATCTGCTGCTCCAGGCTCCCCATGGAGAGCATTTCCCAGAGGTGACGACAGATTCGAGGCTTGGTGGATGTACAGCAGCTCCCCATCCTCTGCCGGCAGGGATCCTAAGGAGAGGAAGATTTAAAATCACTAAGTAAAACATTTCTCTAACAAAAGGACCAAATGGAGTGATGCATCTTGCTTCTAAACATGAATGTTTGGGCATAAAAAAGTGAAGGTTAGAGCTATATGCTGCTAATATACTCTCCACAAGAAACTGCTCACACAGTACATGAGTTAGCATCCCCTTGTGAATGCAAGCAGTCTCTGCAGAGACTCAGCGGCCAGGCTTATTCTTGTGCTGCCTTCAAAAATTTCAAAGTCAGTTTGGAAGTTAACAAAATTTTTAATTAAGTGTTGTAGCCCCTGGATGCTATGCTATGTCTTAATCAAGGCTGAAAGGCGTTTGTTTACTCAGAACCACCAAATCCCTTAAATCAGAGTTCACCTTCTTGGAGGGTTGAGCAATGCGAATCCCTTCCTCCCAGAGATTTTCTTTGTTCCACTGTTTTGGGATCCACCAGATTGTGATCTCTTTCTGTATTCAATTCAGACAGTTTCAGTGAATGCATCTCTTCATTACTGAAGGTAGGAAAGAAAGGTAATTTTTTATTGCAGTCAGAGATTCAATTTCAACCCTTAGCTTTCATAGAAAAGTCCTCTGGAGGCTGAATATTTTATAAACCAGCATGGTGCTTATTTTTATGCAGTACTGGAAGCTTTACCTGTGCAAGTTTCCTTTCTTGTTATTGTATCCATAAGAGTCTAAGAGCAACTATCAAAGTCTTTAATCTATGCCACTTTAAATAAACATAGGAATGTTAAGAATAATAAATAAACATAAGAATGCACATACAATATTTTCAGTCATGCCAAGGTATATGATGGTAAAGGAAAGTGAGGAAAAGGATTTTTTTTCCATACATTTCCCAAAGATGGTTGTACCTTAAGAAAAAAATATACATGATTTCCCCGTAACCCTGGAAAGATGTTTCTCCTATGGTTTGTGCATTCATCAGAGTAGAAAGACTATATCACAAAGATGGATACTTCACAGAAGTATGAACGATCAAAGGGATTAGACCCTAGTCTTAAAGGCATTGGGATTGCCATGTAAGCTGCTCCAAAACAACTTGAAGCAAACATCTGTTTTAGGAACAACGCACAGCTCTAGAGTCCCAAGTCATTCATTTTGTCAAACCACAAACTAAACCACGTAAGTGCCTCGCTGCCGACTGCACTCTGTACCTGCCAGATGCGTTGTCACCTTCAGACTGGGATCCTGTCCAGTGTTTGCTCTGCGTGGTCCAGTTTTGGCACAGAAAAATAACTGCCTTTGGAGCTACTGCACATCTGCAAAAACAGAAGTTGTCCAGTAGACCTGAATGATGTGTTTGGAAGCAGAACTCCCCCCCCAGTCCTCTTAGATACAGATGTTTTCATAAATAATGCTCATGGTTCCTAAAGAGCTGGAGTACCTAATGAGATGGATACTACTCACAGTGAAGTAACTGCGTGGGCATAGGGAAGAAAGGTCACAAAATGTTTCTTATTTAGAGCTCTGCTCATGGGAGTTGGGGTACTGTGCTCATCCCAAGGGCTTTGAAAAATAAATAAAAATACAGAGATCACTTCTGTCTGAGCTGTACAAACAGATCGAGAGGATTCATTGAGCTGAAGTATCTTCCAAAGCAAGTGTTCACAATTATGTAAGAGAGCTTGGAATTGCAGATGAGGCCTGAGCTTATGTTTATGGATGTGGAGCTAAATTTTTATTCTAACAAATAGTCGCTGAAGTCCATCAGTTTCTACAAGACTTCAGAATCCAGTGCAGAAAGGTGAACAATTAATAAACAGCATGATGTTTTTTTTCCTGAAATTATAACTTTTGGCTTATGATTAGCATCTCACTATGCTCTCATGCGTAAACAAACATCAGCAGTAGTTATCTCCTGAGGGCTTAAAACCCCTTCTCTTGATTTTACAAAAAACAACAGCTGCAGTATAAGTGATTTCAGAACCACAATCCAAATAACAGCCTAAGGGACTTTGTTACCTGAGAGATGTGGGTGCTTCTGAAAAACTGTTACCCTGATCTACATTCCTTACCAGTTAGAAAATTTGATTAAGGGACTCCAAGTGAGATAAAAAACAGAACGAAACATAGAGATCAGGGGAATGTTTTGCTGAATTCAGAAAGCAATGGTACACAAACTGAATATTTACCTTTACATTGTCTTGAAGGAGGTCACTCAAGAACCTCTGGCTTTCTTGAACCTCTCGCTTTGCTTTCTCACTCAGCACAGTAAGTTGCTGCTTCTGCTGGAGCTGATGGGCCTGCATTAGGAAATAGCATGCTATAAATGATATTTTAACTGAGCCACGTGATTCCTCAGAGCTGGGTCCCTAAGGGCAGCAAACTCCAGAAGAAGGCAGCACAGGTACCATGCCACCAACTCCTGTTACACCCTGCTGCCTTTAGAAGGCAGTCCAAATGCTTCTTTATCTAGAGCAAAATAACCCATTCTTGCCCACCAGAAGCTAATATGTGATTTACAAGTGGTGAATTAAGGTCAGCACCTCCCCTTTGCAGCTACATGGGTTTTATGAACCTGTTGCAGAACCAGCTGATGCCAACTGATTATAACCTAGTCACACCTGGGTCTGGTGGTTGCTAGCACCACTTATTTATTTATTTATTTATTTATTTATTTATTTATTTATTTATTTATTTATTTATTTATTTATTTATTTAACCTGTGATAGCAGCCCCGGCATTGCTCTTTGCATAGGTTGCTGACTGTACCTTCAGTCTGTGAGCCAGCAGCAGGGAGGTTTGTCTCAAATTGTCCAGATGGCTCCTGTATTTCTCCTCCAGTTCTGCGCAGCTAGGGTCTCCCGCACCTGCAGAAGCTTAGAAAATAGATGTTAACAGTCACCCATTTCTTAAGAAATAAAATAAAATAAAATAAAATAAAATAAAATAAAATCTGTGTTCCATTTAATAGGTACCAGCTGAACAAAGTATCAGAGGTTACTAAAGGGAGGCAGTGGAAGCAGATTCTTTCAGATTTTAGTGGGATGTTGCCCTCAAACTGCATTTCTGTGCTCTCAAAGTCCATGGAGATTTAAGGATTTGCCAAGTATTTTGCTGGGAGGGATGGCTTGCTGGGTCACAACTGAGGCTGGCACACCCTGTAAATAATTTAACAGCATCGTGATATTTTCAGTGGGGTTCCAGGACATCTGATCCTCAACTCTGCTGCATTTCAGACGTGGCTGTACTTCTTCAAACGTGCCTGAGTCTTAATACATAGACTTACAGAGGAGATCGCTGAGAGCAGAAGGGGGCTGTGTACATGGCTCCTACCTGCATTTTCCTTTTGAATCCTCCCTGGGCCTGTTTTTGGAGGCCTCCCAAATCTGACATCTGCCTTTTTTTTCCCTGGAATAGCTTCTCTGCATGCACTTATATCTTCTGCCATATCTGAAGGAGGGAATTGTCACTACCTCCATCCTGACAAGAAATCTGTTAGCATCAACTCCTGCGAGCACTGGGGAGAGGGGAAGGGGTAGGATTCGGAGGGGCCAGCCCCAGAAAGCAGAAGGATGGAGAAGCCGTTCCCTTCCCAAACCACACCCTGGCCTGAAGTCCAGAGGGTGCACTATTGCTGCTCTTTTTTCTCCCTGCTCCTCCTCTGCACCATCAGCGTCAGACCCACTAGTTACAGAAGAAGAAAAGCTTCCCAACCTCTTTGGGATCTCTAGCAGCATCCCGCGTGCCCCTCCATCTTGCAGCTTCTCTGCAGACTTGTCTTCTCTCCTTTGTCACAGGGGAGACAAACCCGTGAAAAAAAAGCTTTTGCTTTCAAGTGGGGTAAATATCTCTTGCTCCAGGTGCACCTATTGCACTGCTGCTTCCTTATTGGGACTCTCCTGTCTGTCTTTTACAGTGTAGGTGATGTAATGTTTACCAGTGATATGTTCTTGGCTGCTCTGAGCTTCTCAGATGAATTGCTAAGCTTATGCAAACAGGTTGAGTGTTTACTCTGAGCTGTGACACTGTCAGAGCAACCAGAGTCATAAATGAATTGAAGTGTGGGTCATAAATAGAAATAGGTTTGACTTGGAAACTTCAGATAAAATCTGTAGCCCTATTCAGATTGTCTGAATCCAAATTACCCTGTGCCCCAGGATAAGCCCACAACATGCAGGGCTTGGTTTTGTTTTAAATACCGAAGGATTCGTAACACAGGGAGGATCAGTGATGTGGACTTCTTTGCATGCCAAAATGCTCTTTATGTTTACAAGGATGTGAGTGAAATAAAATGTTAATGCTTCAAGACTGATCCAGATTTTCTATTAGAATGTTGCTGCATTTTTATAAACAGCTTGGTTGAGAATTTCACTTCCATCTTAGAGTGTTTCCAGTTATCAAAGTTTTTTACAATAGGAGGCTTTTCTTAACCCCCCTAAGACTGGGTGAAAATCTCATCTTTTATGTCAGTAATACATATCTCCTGGTTCTGGGTGGTTGTTTGAAAAGGCAAAATCATGCTGATTGATTTAGAAATCACATGGCCATTAAAGAGCTTATTCATTAAAAAATGCATAAAAAATGCTTTTACCCCAATCTTTCCAATTCTGGGGACTGATTCAGACTCCTTAATAGCTACCAGAGATAATTTTGTGAAATGGTATATTTAGGATAATCCTATGGGTGAAAGTGCCATTGTTTCTACAAGGAACTTTTATTACTTGTTTTAAGCAATGTAATAAAAAAAAAAAAAAAAAAAGGCAACTGAACAGCTCTTCAATAGATATACAGATAGCTCATCATTTTCAACAACTAGATGAGGATGTCCCCTTAAATACAAAGAAATAAGGTAACCTTATACAAAAAAATTACAACCTAAATCTATTGATGCTGAGTTGTCTGAGTAGTTTCATTGCTGACATTTGGGCCATTCTGAAGTACAGGAATCTGTTGCTGTCAGGAAGTATTTTCAATTTGTGCTTCAAACTGAACAATGTTATTGCCATTCTGCTCAAGGACTGACCAATGGTAGTGATCTGAAGGTGAATAAAAAGTTTGTTCTGATCTGTTTTCCCTCCTCTTGAACACAGTTTTCCTGACTGTGGCTATTGCCAGATGCATTTCTTGTGTTGTGACATCCTGCATCAAAGAAAATACCATCTGGCTAAACTTCATGTCCTCTTACCTTATGATGAATGGCATTTTACTGCATACCCAGATAGCTTCAATGTTCATACACTCAGTCTTCTTTTTTTTACAGAATGCTATTTATTAAATCACTTTCCGCTGCACCTGCAGAATCTCAGTAAAACCCTGTAGAATCTCTGTGACATGTAATTAAAAAAGCTGGGCTAAAAGTCTCATTTTTCTAATCACTCGAAGCTAGGCAGAAGCACTTACTGCTGCTTTACTCAAGGACAGCTCTTCCTCTTTCTGCCCATGTCAGCAATCAGTCCAAAGCAGTCATTACAAAACTACATACTTGCAACTTTGGATAGAAGCACAACTTCGACTGTGTTGGAGGTATATGAAGATGGGTTGAAAATGGTGCTGAAAGGCTGCTGTGGAATGGAGCAGCAGATCCAGGAGTACCTGACCCACCTGGTACCCAAGTCAGGCAATCTATCTCCAAAATTAGTGCACCGTCTCTGTTGCTATATTATTTACTGATGCTCTTCAGGCAAGGGATGAAATGCTATAGCCATGTGTTTGTTCGTGTGTAGGAACAGAGCCACAGTGATTACAGTGAACGGAGATACAGAAACAAGGTTTGCTAACTCCTGACCACAACTGAGATATGCAGCACAAACAAATACTGTGGCTGTTTGGCCCTTCTCTAGCAAGACCTGAGCCAAGAGCCCTATTCAGGAGACTCTAAACTTGAAGGCTGTACTCGTTTACCAAGGAAAATCAATGGGCTCATCTGCATTCTCGAGTACTTTGGAGAATCTGGATTTCTGTACCCACCGGATCAGCCTCCTCTCTCCTCTCTAAATACAGCTGGCATCCCACTTGTCACCGAAGAGCGGCTGCTTGCTAAACTAGGGATTAATGCGGCCTGTGCTGCTCCTGCCCTCTGCATGTTTTGTGCTTACATCTAAATCCTGCAGTGCGTAGGGCTGGCCAGAGTTCAGCTTCCAGCCAGATGTTGCAGCACTTGGCAGTACGCCTCCCTGCTACTGACCCTTCCCCGCGGGGCATCACATACGGAGCAGCCAAGCAGCTCTTGCCACAGGCTGACGGGAGAGAGACGGGCCTGGATCTGGCCCTAACCGGGACCCTGAATGTCCATGAAATGTTTCTTCTATTTCTCACCACTTATAAAATTCCCTCAGTCCACTGCACTTCCAGTATCGATAACAAAGCCCCAGCCTGTATGGCAAAGCAACACAGGACACAACAGAGCAAGAAACACTCCCTTCTCCACACGCTTTGCAGCGGTATTTTACAGGTAGCAGCACGTTACGGGGTAGTGGCACAGAGAAGGACCAAGTCCTGACCGCTGTGCACACACGGGAGCCAGGACGTTGTTCAGCCAAGCTAGAGCAGTGCAAATGCAGTGTGTGAGGGTGTGGAAAGAAACAAGTTCATAGAAAAAAATGGTGTCAGAGGAAGTGAGAGCGATTCTCAAGAGCAGTTCTGGTGCTGCCTGTCAGAGTCACGAAGCATCCTGTGCTCCAGCACTGCCCTCATTGCAGGCTGCTTTGGAGATGCTCACCGAAGCTCCGCCAGACAGAAGCTTTGTAAAGCAGGAAAAATAGCGCAGCATTTTGAAGCAAAACACGAAGAGCTCTCTCGTCTCTAAACTATCAATCAGAGGACAATTAGCTGAAACCATGCTGTTAGCCTTGCTGATGCCATTAGTTTAATCATTTCTCCCTCTCCTACAAGCAAGAAGGCAGCTCCCTCTAGTGATACGAGGAGGTAAGCCAGTCAGCAGCCAAGGGGAAAGATGTTACATAGCATTTTTTTTATTTTTATTTTTTAATTAAGGATAAAATTGTGTGTTATTATAACGGGTAGCATTCCATTTGGCTTCTTAATGCCAATTACTTTAAACCTGTAGCTATGCTGAAGATTAAACACTTAGAAAATACCTGTTTAAAATACCTGTTTAACAAGGAATTTCAGCTTATACTTTGTTGTCTCGCAGGTACTAAAAAAAAGAAAGGGGGGGGGGTCTGGCTTGCTGAAATGAACCTTCTGGTTCATACTCCAAACATAAGGCTGTAGGAAGGACATAGGCCAAATGGTTTTAAAACCACCTCATTCCCCTATTTAAGAGTGACACAGAAACCTGGGTGCTGGGGCTGTATTCAGGGGGTGTGCTGCAGTTATATAGTTATAAATATATATATAAAAAAATATATATAAATGTATATATTTACAAGTATTTTGTGAATATCCACTTCTTGTACCGTTTTGTTACGTGTGAAATTGCAATTTGTTATTCTGCCAAGCGTGCTTACTGCAGGAACATCTAACGTCTTTGGCACAGCAATTAGCGGTTAGGTGCTGCATGTATCTTTTAAATGTAAATATTTATATTTTGTGTCAGATGTATAATTACACATCATTATGCTGCGTGTGCACGGTAACTTCTGGGCTGCGTGAAAGAGAACGGGATCAGCTGCCAGCGTGATGCATCGGGCAGACAATGCGGCCCCGCAGCTGAACAGCCGTGCCCTGATAAGAGAGGAGAACAGATCCACTTGTGACCCATATTTCAGAGCAACATTGTCTTCAGGCTGACAGTTCTGTGCCTCATCTGCAGCAACATGGCCCGAAGTGGAACTGCTGGCTTGCAGTCAAACCTGCAAAGCTCCTACAACTGCTGAGGGAAGGGACGGGGCTCTCCTGGCACAGACACCAGGCAGCAGCTCCTATTGTTCGAGTGCTGAGTAGGGTATTTTTGTCAGATAGCTCCCAGAATTGGGGGCTTTAATTATTAATATTCAATAAATGCAGTGTCTTTCACTCGCGGTGAACACTTCAGACAATGGACTTGTGTCCAATTGTGTAAGGTGCCCTCGCAGTCCCCGGGGGCTGGGGAGAAGCAGCGTAAACAACGCTGGCTTCTCCACCACCTCAAAATCCAATATGACTTATAAAATGTTGTGGGGAAAACAATGAAGAATCCTTAATAAGAGCAAAGGCTTTTTGTAAGTACCCTCTTTGAGGAAAGGATATCTGAGCTTGTTCTTTTGTCTGGAAAAGCCCTTAAAACAATGCACCATCTGCTGCTGTTTGGTGGAAGCGAGCAGGGCTCTCCAGCCAGAGCAGGCCTGCACGCTGCCGTTTGCTGCTTAACCCTTTGGACAACAAAATCCCCTTGTTTCTATGCAAATACTTGTTGTCAGCAGCAGTAGCGATGCTTTGCCAGCCATGTGGGATTCTCAAGCATGTGTCTCCATTCGCCCCGCAGTCCTTTGTTAACCCTGCGAATGTTCTGAGCTGCCCCTTGCTGTACAAGGAGGATCACGTCCCACACTTCTCTGATGTGTTAATTACGAGGAGTTCATTGCAAAGCTCCTTGAGACCTTCAGAGGAAGCTGCAAGGGGCTCTGATCTGGATGGGGTTTGTTCCATTAGGGGCTCTCTGGGGCTGTCCCTGTGTCACGGCACAGCATCCTGTGTGGTGACGTTCTGGTCAATTCCACATTTTTGTCTTTATTCGTCCATCACCTTCAAAATCTGGAATGCTCACCTGCTCCTTGAAATTTCCCTTCACCCCTCAAGTTTTTCAGTTTTTCAGAACTTTTAGCAAGAGTTCTCTCGTAACCAAAGGCTATTCATTCTCCTGCAATAGTGCAAGAAGCACCTGGGGAGGGCACAGAGCACCCACCGCACTGACACCGTGGGGAACGCCACCTTACCAAAGTCCTGCTTGAAGCCACCTCGAGTCTTTGATCCATTCGTTGGAGTGGCAGAGAGCTGGGTTCTGAGGCCGTCCGGTGTCCTCAGGCTCTCTGGAGGAGACCAGCAGGCAATTCCCTCCCGATGCTGAACTTCCAGGATCGTCTCAGGCCAGCGGTGGTTCCTCTGAGCTGTGGGTTCTCTCTGCAGGCTGTGTCAAGGCAGCAACAATTACCCAGAGAGTTTTTGAGGTGATGCACGACCATAAGCAACTGTTGAACTAAAGGATGGCTATTTCGTTTTATCAGATCTATCATTTATTAAATGTTGTTAAATGGAAATAAAAGATTCACTGAGAAGTCACACCTGCCCATGTACAAAATCCCCTTTCTTGTGCTTTGATGTTGTCATGAAAGCTAAAAACTCTCTTCATTACCTACTCTAATTACTACTCTGAAAGAGATGGAATTATTTTTCAGCCTGGTGGAGAGCAGAAACAACCTAGCTTAATTTATTGAGGCCGCATTGTACAATCCGGGCTGTTGCTAGTACTTGGTTGCACAATCTAGCTCTGAACCTCAGCAAAGTTTTCTGAAATCATTTTAGAAACTCCCCAGAGTAACACTTGCTGGTCCACTGCTTCTGGGACTTGTGCTGAGCATGGTTGTGGCCCAACTGAGGTTAGTTATGGATACACAAACTTCAATATTCCAAAACAACATCAGCACCAAACCCTACAGTCCCGACAAATATCACAGCTAACCGGGTTTAATTTGTTTTGATCTGTAACTATCTGAGCTTAACTAAAAAGATGAGGAAGGAAGGTGTGAAAACGGGCATTTGTTGATCAAGCCTCAGCTGAAATACAGGCAAGGACCCTGGGACACACTGAGCTGGTGACAGATGTCTTCTTTTTATACAGAAAAATGAATGTGGAAATTTTTTTAATCAGCAATCAGCTTAGGGAAATCTCATTTCATTTTTCTTGTTAATAAGCTTTTCTTTGTTTTTCGTGACCCAGAAACTGCTAAAACGATTAGAGCAGTCTCCACTAGCACATCTTGGATGTAGTCTTCAGAAAGTGGAAGCAAAGGGGGATGAAAGAGAAGAGATAAAAGGGATTTCTTACAAAGCAATTCTAATATTTGTCAGGCAAATATGCTGAGTATAGTTTCTGCATTTGTGTTGTGTTAGTTTTTCAGACAATGCCACTATTTCTTTTGGCTTTTGAGAAATGCCTTCTTGTGGTCGGAAAGCCTGATGTCAAGCTCTGAATCCAGCCCTGCCTAGGTCCTGGGAAGACTCCTGCTAACATCAGTGGAAGTCAATCCAGTTTCTACAGAATACACCGTGATGATACAGGAGTAGCCAGCAACCCCTCTCCTCTGAATACAACCATCTCTGCAGCTGGCAAAAACCATCACAACTGCCAGATGAGGCTCTTTGGATTTGTACCAACCAAAAAGAAAGCATTGCTGGAGTAGGAGGCAGCAGGAGGCAGAGCTGAGGTCCCTCATCTAACAGGCTCAGGACATCAGACCTCTCCCTGACTGCTGCTTGCTCTGCCTTGGGCTGTGAGGCCACCCAGTGCAAGTTTAAAAATGAACTTATGGCAAAAGTGCTGCGATCTCTTTGGCTCTCTAGGGACGCCGAAAGCCACTTCTATAGGTAATTGAATCAAAATAAGGATGAAATTGCATAAACATTTTCTGGCAGTTTGGAGAATTCCCATCAGTGAGTGATTTGCATTAACAACAGATCTCCGTCAGCCGCCCCTGCGGACGGCCGAGCAGCCGTGCGTGAAATGGGAACATTTCTTATGGAAAGATGCACCTGCGGGATTTCTTGCATGAACATGAATCACTGTTTTCACAGCTCTAATTAAACATGTAAACACAAAACGGTGCTGTCGCAACTGGCTCTGCTAGGATCATGTTCAAGAGCACTGATTTTGTAATGCGGGATGTTTTGTATTTGTGAATGAGGCTGGCAAACAGTTTTTAACAGGTGGCTTTGTTTAAATGAAGTGTTGAAGGGAATATGCATGCAGCCAGCTGCAGACACCTAACTCATTATCACTGGTAGCAACAGGGGAAGTCAGAGCAGAGACCCGACTCAGCTGCCGTTACCGTCACATTTTCTAACCTAGCTCCTAGCTCCATTGGTGATGTGTGTTACAGGCATGGGTTTACCAGTGGCTAAGAACAAAGCATTCTCCCTGTTCGGTAGCACAATCCTATGAAGTTTGGTGTGTTAGCTTCACTCTTTAGCATGCTGGTGCTCCTTTAGTGTGTGGCTTTCTGCGCAGCTCACTACTGCATCAGAGGGAGTCCTCAGCTCACAAGGAGATGAGTCTGGAGCTGTTCGCAATAGAGCTGCACTTCCCACTTCTAAACTCTAAAAACAGCGATATTTTATCTGCAAGGAGCTCTCCTCATCTTTTGGAGCAGCACTCGCAGCAGGGTTGTGATTTATTTTTTGGGAGGTTTTTATTGCTGATGTTTTCCTGCGGTGCTCTGAGGACTTTGTTTGACTGCACTGCTCAGACACGGGGGAGCTCTGCTCTCTGGGTAATTGCAGTGCTCAGGAGATCAGTGCAATCTGTCTTACTTCTGCTTTGCCTGATGCTTCTCCATTACAGCTGCTCCCGTGGGGGCCCACAGAGGGTCTGCACCTACCTTCGATTACTGTGAATTAGAGCTGCGTATAACCATGTGTACACCACGGAGCAGCCTGGTGAGGCAGAGCCACGCTGTCCCCCCCTGGGCTGGGGTCCCAGAGCACCAACACCTCGTCCTGCTCTTCAAACGGGAAGCTGGGGGTGTGGGGGGCAGTTTGCTGCACCTATGTCCTTTTTGGCACTGCCTGCCCAGGTCTTATTTAATCCGCTAAGGTTCGGGGCTTTATTCTCCGAGGGAGACCTCTCTGCAGGGAGATGCGTGGCTCCTGGTGGGACTCTGTCATTCTTCAGGGGCTGGACAGGGACACGATCTGGTTTGCAGCCTGTGCCTTGCTTCTGAGCTCCCAGCTCCCTTCCCAGCTCCCCTGTAACCAGAGACAAGCCACCCGGGGCAGCTACACAGATATTGCTTTGCTCTCTGAGATACAGGTTAATGGGAAGGGTTTTCTATCAACAGCCATCTACATTAAACATTTAATTAATGTTGGTTGACTGAAAATAACCTCCATTAATGTAGTCCTTTTCTCCAAACTTCCTGTTCTGAAGCAGATTTTCCATAATTATCATGCTCTATCATCCTGTTGGAGGAAGCTCAGTCTGCGGGTAGGTGTTGCTGCTCATACACACAATCTGTGCAGCTGCAGCAACCAGATTTTTTTTACCCACTTTTGGAGCAAAGTGAGTGAAAACAATCACTATAAATGAATTTATAGTATTCAGTTGATTAAATCACTCTTTAATCCCCTGCAAAAAGGAGATCAGTGGAGATTTAACTAGGTACTCATAAAGATAATCAATTTATTCTTCTGCCGGTGCCATATGTTGAGATAGCGAGGTTTTTATTTTACTGGGGAGGGGAGGGAGGCTAGATCTACACGTGGCTTTTCAAACACCTTTACACGATAAGTGCTTTATTGTTACTTGGGAATGGAGTCACAGAGCAGAGCAGTGTACTTTGAGCCCCCTTTATGGCTCTGATGTTTCTCAACACAGCAAGTATAACGCTGGTGGAACTGCATTTAATCTATTCCAAGAGCTGTCTTCTGTACCACCTCTCCAGAGGCATTTTATAGTTTAACAGGAAGGTTTTTGAGGAGGTGCTTCCTAACACCTGACACACTGGTCTGTACTGATTTGGTCAGGTAGGAGCTCTGCTAAGCCCAGATCGTTGGCATGGGGTTGGTGCAGGTTGGTATAGGGTTGGCATTGGGTTTTCACCTGGCAGGCAGCCCCAGCAGCCCTGACAGTGCCCGCAGCATGCCCCCTGGTTTTCACCACCTCCTTGTAGCTGCCCCTGCTCAAGATGGGGTGTACAAAGGCGAAGCTGCCCCGTGCAGATGAACAGGGCCTGGCTGCAGGAGGGGAATCCCCCCCCTCAGCCCCCAGCCTCCTCACACAGCTGGGAGGTTGCATCTAGGGCAAAACCCCTGTAGGGGAGATCCATCTCTCTAAAAAAAAAAAAAAAAAAAAGGCTGAAACCTTCCTATTGATCTTCCATCTCTCTACAAATAGGTGGGTCCCTCTTTCAGTATATCTTGTGTCAAAATCTGCCTACTTGGCAATTCTCGGGGTAAGGAGAAAAGAGCAGCCTGGCTCCGCGCTGAGCTGGTGCTATTTATTTTAACTGTATGTGTGTGTGGTGCATTTAGCAGAGAATAATATTTTAGCAGAGAATAATATATCCAAATTTGTTTACCTTCTAGTGAGGAATCCACGAGATGGAAAGGCTGGGCTGGTTATTGGCTTTTCATGCAGTAGGCTCATGTCCACCTCGGAGCCTTTATTCATAGGGAAACCTTTTAAAAAGACAAATGAAGGCATTTAATAAACATGCTCTTTGTAGAAATGAAATGTTCAAGCTTTGGCACCTATTCTCTGCCTGCTTATGTGCGAGCACTTAACTTCCATATGGCTTTTCTTATCCACACATTTCCAAGTATGTCGGGTTAGGCTTATCATTCCTTTCTGGGAAAGCCTGGGCACCAGAAGGTGAAGTGTCCAAATCGGCACTTCAGATACAGCCGAGAGGACCCACTTCTCAGGGATTTTCCCAAGACACAACGCTTTGATTAGCATTCATAGTTTAGAAAGAGCTGGGCTATGGTATGAGTCTCCCTGTCACATCCTACCAACGTTATCTACCTTTCAGTGTGCTGCTCCTGTGTTCCCCAGGGCTGAGATGCCTTGATTTCATGCTGTGGGTGTTCCATGGTAATTCCTTGCCCCCAGCACTCCCCCCAGACAAAGCAGTGGGTATTTTCTTCTGGCTGGCCTGGCTCGTTGCTCCCTCAGTGCCCACAAGGCCGATCCTGCCCAGCCCATGAAATGCCCTGTCTGAGGACACACGTAACTCAGCAGGATCTGGGTCTCCCAGAAGCATTTGTAAGGTCATGGTCCTGTCTTGCTCATCCTTGGAAGTCTCAGGCTCCGTGATAGAAGACTTGTTGAAAAGGTCCCAAGTTGTCTCTGCTGCTGTTTTGTCAGCAAAGTCCCCAGCCCTGCTTGTTGCACTGAGTCTCTTGGTTGACATCTCAATCTTCTCTGCGAGTTCCTTGGATAGATTGTGTATGGCTTTCACTCGATCCCACTTATTTCTGTATGGAGAAAGACCAGAAACCGAGTCCTTGGAGTCCAGTTTTGCATCTTTCTGAGGAAGGGAAAAGCTGAGAGGAGGTATAGAGAGAGCTGGGGGAGAGCAGTCCCCCAAGTCTTCACGTTTCAGAGGACTCAGGAACCAGCATTCAGATCCCAGTGCTGCTGCAGAAGGTAATGTCTCTCTGTTTTTAGGTGATTGACCTCTTAGAAGCTGATCCCTGTTTAAATAAAAAGCAGAACTGTCAGGTTATAAAACCAAATAACGTTAGGTTTTTGCACTGACCAGTGTCCTCAGCTAAAGCGCTTCACAAAAGAAAAAGAAACGGATTTCCCTGTCTGTAGATACCTTTGTCACATGATAGATTCAGGATGGAGCTCAAACTGCTGACAAATAGAAGGGAGATTCAGAGTTTTGCCTGACGCTGTTAAGGAATAATTATTTAAAAACACAAATCATAAAAGTAGGCTGAAACTGGGCTTTGCACTGGGTAGCTCAGGCAGTGCTGGTAAACCAGAGCACACAGAGGCCAGGTAAAGCACCATGCGGGTTCATTTAATGCATTGGCAGAAGGAAAAAAATCCAATTCCACATCCTGAAACACACAAGCTGCGTCTTACAGAGCTGTAACTGCTCTGGACTTGGGTGCAATGAGGCTGGTTTTAAGGTGAGATATGAGAGTAGATTAATCCATTGCTGTTTTCAGCAGTACTCTATGAAAAGTCTGCAGTGTGCTGAGAAAGAGGCTTTCTAGGATGCTTTTAACATCTGAGTACCTGTCTCTGTGATCTTTATTTAGTAGAGTATGGGGTGTTTCATCCACCCAGGCCATGAAACTCCTCTCCAGGATTGGACCACTGGTTTGCTCCTGAAACAAAAGTGACCATTAGTGTAAGCACTAAATAACTGGGCAATGAGAGCGCTATTTGGCCTTTGTTCCACTTAATAATTGCTTCATGTAACCAGAAAAATGCACGAGCCAAACAACAAAACTGTTCTTTTAGCTAAAGCAATTGAGATTTCCAGGCTTTTGACCCTGAAGTTCAGGGTTCCAGCCTTACTAATGAGCACAGCAGTTGTTGCCATAATTAGAAGTCAATTGCTCTATTTTTCCAGATAAAATTTTCTGACGCTTCAGAGCATTTGCATGGAGCATTTCGTGTCCTACTCGGTGCTGCAGTGATCAAGATTGTAGGGTTTTCAACCTGCCATTCCTGTATGACTTACCTGTTCAAGCGCACACCGAGGGCTTTGTGTCACAGCAGCTGTTCCCCTGCTCGGGCTGTGTGTCTGCTCTGAACGTGTTTTCTTTCCAACAGCTTCTCTCTGTTTCCTGTATACTTCTTGCAGCCTCTTATTCCTCATTTCCATGGCTTCCATCAGAGACTTTTTCTCTTCTAGCTTTTTTTTCTTTCTCTCTTTATTCTTCCTATGAATATATTCCCGAACAACTTCAGGGCTGTAGGGGTGAGGTTTTCTAACATTTACCCTCCTCTTTGAAGGGTGCTTAAGGTTTTCCTTCTCAGACCCTTTCTGCAGAGGGCTGTTTGAGCCTTTCCATCCCTGAGGAGATGTGCTGCACTTTCTAGAGCTGCCGGGCTTGGCTCCAGCCTTTATTAACGAAGCTCTTATCTTGTCCTCAGTGAAGGCAGGGGGAGTCGTGCTCTGAGCTTCAGGTGAAGGAGAACGGATCCCAGGATATTGCTGCAGAACTTCTGCCTCTGCTCTCACAGTGTCTTCTGGGAGCCTGCTACGTCTGTGTTCCTCCTGCCACTGGCTTTGCAGATGCAGGTTGCTGAGTACTGGGTTTGTATCCTTGGCTGGTGCACTGCTGCTCCCTCCAACGGGCCTGTGGGGGGGAACTGTGCAGCTTGTGAATTCAGGGCTTTTCCCCCCAGGTTCATTTCCATTTTCTCTAGAGCTGTTTTCCATTGCTGGCATTGCTACAAATCCTCGCTCAGGCTCTGTGGAAATGATTTTGAAACAGCAGTGGTGTTATCACTCCAGTGATGTATCAATTCCTGTATCTATTGTGTGCATCTCTAAACCTGCTTCCTACCATAGGTCTGAGGACTGCTGTAAAATTTTCTATAGTCTAGATGGAAGACAAATCTCTGCTAATTTTGAAGTGGCAGAGTCCAGTTATACAAATGATGTGCACTTTGTGGCCAAGGAAGCCATACAGCTGTGTCTGGCAAACCAGCCCAGCTGAAAAGCAGAGCTTTTGGTGTTTGACAAGTGAGTTATTGCTTGAGTCTTTAAAGATAGGTGCTTAGAAGAGCCCTGAAACCATTTATTTCAACTAGATTTAATAAGTGGTCCACCACTTTTTTGTTCATGTGCCAAAACAACTAGCATAGTAGTGAGAGGCAACTGTACCCAAGGTGTTTCCAGTGGTCTGCTCCTCAGCTGTGCTCTGCAGCTTTGGAAATGCAGGGGGTGGACCAAGCAACTGCCTAGCCAGCTTCTGACCTTCTCTCCATGCAGAAGCACCGGGTAGCTTTGTATCTGAAACAGAGAACTTCATTATTAAACCCTCACATGTTCTTTGAATGAGAATTACAGCTTTATCGTAATTCTTTTTAATGGTGATGTCCAGAAATCACACTGAAGATGTGGGGAGATCTAAAAAGTTTCAGTCAGAGTAAGTTAACAAAAAGTTTTTAAAGCGCTCAAACTTACAATTTATACCATTTATCACTTGCGTTATGTTCATACAGTTCTTATGATCTTTACTCAGAAGCCAGTGAACCCCAGAGTCCTCAAAAACAAAAAGAAGAGGTCAGGACACAAGCATCTGACAGCATCCCTCTGCAGTGGCAGCTGCAGACAGCTGGTACTTGCTGGGTTCCAGCAGATTTGAGAACTGGAAGGAGGGGGATAATGAAAATATGATTTTCCTTGTGATTGCATCAGCCTAACTAGGGTGAACTAATTCGTTTTTAAACTGGTGAGAATCAGCAGGATGCAGCGTGGAAGAATCAATGAGCAATACAGGACGAGGGACCATGTATAATGCAAAAATAAACGCTGCAGTATGCAGCACAAACAAATTATTCTTGCTTAATAGGTGGTGTCACATAATAGACAACATTTATCACTGTTTTACTTCATAATTTCAGATTGCATTCACAGCATGCCAATACTTGCACTGGCATGATTATCCATCCATTGCAAACACTTCTCGAGCAGCAGGTGACAAAACAGACGCCTCTTTGGAATTTGCAGGGCAGCTCCCTCCCCCCTTAAGCTTTACCCTGGCTAAAATATTCATGCTTTTAGATAAAGGATTGTACTCTTAAATAGTTACCAGCCTCAGTTCAGAGATGTGGATAAAACCAACTGACTGAGTCTGGCTTTCCTGGCCTCTGCTCAGCAGCCGTGTGCGTACAGCACCGCTGGGAACCCTCTGCTGGCCGTGGGGCACTTCTGGACACTGGTTAACGGGGTTGTCCTTTGCTTTGTGCCCACAGCTAGAAGCAAGGTGACTTCTCCACAGCTATCCCTAAACCATGGGTGGAACTGCCAAAATCTGTCGGACTCGGGCAGGCTGAGATCCATCAGTGTTTTTGGTTGAGCAGCTCGCTGTATTGCTGTTTTCTAGGTTAGCAGCATTTAAAATGCAGGAGGATGCATTTATTTACTGTGCTTAGTTTCTCAAAATGCAACAGACAAATTAATATGCAGCTCTAACGATCTTCACTTCGCCGTCTTGTCTGATTTCAATTAAACCTTTTCTATCTACAAAGTATTTATTAACTACTAAAAATCTATGTCAAAGTTCAAGAACAGCCTGAGTTTGTGAGGAAATCACTCACTAGAAGGAAATCTTTTGATTTAAATATTCTCCACTTTTCTTCTACCTTTGAGCAGATGAATATTTTATAGCTGTTGTGACTTAATTTTTTGTTAACTACAGCAAATTTATAATTCATCAAATTCCCGAGCACTCCGGCTCTGACCCCTGACCCCTCATTCATCTCCTCGTAGCCCTGCCTCGGCTCTTTCACTGACAGAAACTAATAGCCAATAAAGACACCATGACACTGGCAGTTACAATGATGAATGTTTCATGTGCCATGGTCTTATTATGACCCACTCTCAGAGGAAGATCAAGCCATTTTTCAAGCAATCCATTAAAACAAAAAAGGAGGGAGAGGGAAATTATTACATATTTCATGCATTTTAAATAGTACTCAGGTAGCAGGGTGCGGGATGCAGCTCTGCTCATAATTTCATCTGCATGTATTAGATAGCTCGGATTTTTTTCTTTTTTTGTTCCCAGAAGTTGCAGATCTGGTACTTTTGCCAGTGTAAAGCACAGCTGCTTGGGGTGGGCAGCACCCGTAGCACTTCCACTCCTTGCCTTGCTCCCCCAAAGTTTGAACACAACCATTTCCACTGCAAAACGCTAGCATTAAATGGGTAAAATTGCTCCGATAGTTCAAATCTGCACTTAGAGATACCCTTAGTGGGGGCTAGTGATGGGTAATCCTGCTCCTGTGCTGAGTAAGGCTGGGGGCATCCACCCGACTTCGCACTGCGTTCACCTGGCCCCTGCTTTGCAGGCTGTGAAATCCCTGCCTCTCGGTGGCACTGCTCAGTCATTAGCGAGCACAGGAGGGAACAGGTGACAGACGGTCCTTCCCACCTAGGACGCGTGGCTTATTTTTTATTTCTGATTATTTTTAATCCTGGCAGGCCCGGAATTCAACTGCCGCAGGCAACGGGGTGACAAATTGTCGGAGGTCACAGCGGCTGGCTCTCAGGGCATCGGCATGGGGCCTGCGACAAATCCTTTGCACAGGGAGAGCCCGAGGGAGGGTCTGTGGCAGTGACTTGCCAAACTTTACCCAAAAGCCAGAGACAGCAAGTGCTAGCAGGTGGCTGGTCAGACACCCTCCCTGAGGCCTCAGCACGCTTTGCATGCAGCTAACCCAGAAATGAAGCCTCACGTCCTCGTGTTGCCCTTGCTCATCTTCTGCCTCCTCGAACAAATGCTGATTTTTGTCTCTCTCTGGTTTTGTTACTTGCTGGATATACCAGGCTCTGGTCCCTGACTGGGTCCTAGGATCTGACACTATTTAATAAGCAGATAAATATTTTGGCAGGCAAGTATCCAGCTGCTGTGACCTCGGGTGGTTTTGTCCGTCAGTCTGTCATTTCTGGTGATTTTCATCCTTACCTTTACTTGCCGCTGTTCTCTCCAGCTTGGAGGATTTGGGTGAAGGCTGCCTCTGGCTTTGTGCTTGAATTCTCTGCGCTGAACTTCTCTCCTTTTGGTCTTCAACCAGGTGGAAAAAAAGAAAAAAAGAACAAGAAAAAAAAAAGAGTTAGTGCGTAGGCAAAATTAAACTGCACACTTGGCAGCTGTCCCCAGCAAACCAAAACTGTGACACAAACGGCAGCTTTTAGGTGGCAGCTGCAAGCCACCTTTTCTTTGCCAGCTGGCCTGCTAGGAAGAACATTTCCACTTTCCCTGCACATTGTGCTGCCTTCCCGGGAAGCTGGCTGAGAGCTGGCACTGTCCCGAGCTGCAGGGGTGGCACCTCTCCCTTTGGGGTCTTTCTGGAAACCCGTGTGTGCTCCCGGAGACCCCAGGTGAGCTCCGTGAAAGACTTCCACATGTCACTGTAAAATGTGGTTTGGAGCAGATCTAAGGGAAACACCCTGGAAGCTGATGGGGTGTGACAGGGATCATAGTGCCCGATGAATTAACGCTAATGCTATTACAGCAATAAGATTTATTATGCAGAGCTTTTCAGCTCATCTTCTCTACTCTGATCCAGCCCCAGTAATCCTGAGAGGACTGCGGGCAGGCTGACTGGGCTGGCCCTAGGGCAGTAAGTACTTGCTCTCGAGTCCGTGCATTACTCAGAGCAACCCAAGATCTTAAATTATGCTAAACTAATGTGACAGCTGTAGATGAATGGCACTTCAAGCCCAAATTTAGCAGCAAAGCAGGATAAAGAACTCTGATATTTGCTCTCAGATCCACTACTTCCACTGAATGATCTGCTAAATCCTCTGTAATGCCTCTGAACTACACAATTCCTGCTTTAAATACCTGCGATGCCTCCCCACGCTGCAGTGCTCTTATTTCCCACGTACTTATGCCACTTATGGCATATCTCCCGGACACGGCTGCTGCCCAACGCGTAACTAAACATGGGGTGGGAGCCGTGTGGTTCAGTGCACAGCTGTGCCAAGGCACAGATAGGTAGCACACAGTCCCAGCCTTTCTCTGGAGATGCCAGACCCCTACTGACCTCTGCAAACCGGAGCGGGAGGAGCCGACACCACCGTGCACACCTTCCTCCTCAGGGGGCTCTTTGGTGGCAGCCCCCCAGCACACGCTGCAGCCTGGCACTGCTGCGCCCGGGATGCCGCTTGCTGCTTCTGCTCCTGGATCTTCTTCTTGAGCTGCTCTAACTTCTTTTGGGGTGATTTTTTCCATAGTTCTGCCAGCTTCTGATCGCTGGGCCCGCTGCCTGGTGCAGGGCCGTACATCCGAGGTGTGCCAGCCGTGGGCATGGGAGCTGAGAACCGACTGCTCCCCGCTGGGGATGGAGCTGGGTGATGTGGGCAGCGGGGAAATTTCCCCTTCCGCCCTGCACAACTTCTCGAATCCATCTGCTCCCCAAAACTCTCCCTTCTTGCTCTGCACAGGCTCATCGCAGGAGACCACATCCCACAAGGGGCTGAGCGTGGGTGTCCCCTGGAGGACAGGGGGGCTGTGCCAGGTGGGATGGGGCTCGCTGCAGGGCTCTCCTGGAGACAGCTCTGTGACCAGGCAGGGGAGAAGGCAGCACAAATCCCTTCTCTTAAGAAAACGAAAAACAAGACTAAATGTGTAAGGTGAATTATTAAATCATCCGTTAGATTGCTAACATCAGCTGAGTTTCTAGGCACATTCTGCTGGTGGTCTCAGTGTCTCCATGGGATCAAAATTTTGTCTGTTACCATCAGTTTGGCAAACGAAGATAATATTGGGAAAGGGCAAAGGGAACCGTGGTCTGATCAGTTATTACAAGCATGGGCTAAGGCAGGTAGATAATGCAGAGAACTGATGGCATTGGCTTGTTGGTCAGCATTTATGAGGGTGAAATGATGCTTAACTTTATTCTGAGGTCCTGCATCCTAGAATTTTAAATCCCTTTTTGTGTGCCATTGCCTCTCCATCCCCCAAGCGCTGAACATTAATGTTAATGAACATTACCTGCAGGACAAGGGAACCTCATTGCTCTTTTTCTCAATCAAAGCTGTTTCATCTCTGCTTCTCTCCCCATCTACAGTGTAACAACATTATGTCAATATTAGCAAACAACATTTCCTTAACCATTAAATTAAATTAGTTCATTTTATAGGGACTATTCGCCAAAGGAATTTGGCCCGTTGGGCTTCCAGGTATGATTTTGTTGCAAAAATTTCTGTGTACACTGTCTCCATGCCACCCAGGTCCTCAGGGCAGCCCAAGGACTCGGTTACTGGCTTGCACAGAAACCTGAGCTGCCTTTAGGAGCTTGTGTCCCAGCTACCTGGGCGACACTGCAGCACGTGGCATTAAAATGTGCTCCAACAGGTCACATCGTGCCCCGGCATTTAAACCCAGAGACCAACCTTCATCTCATCTTTCCTTCCATAATACAGATGGTGTGAAAACAAGACAAAAGATTCACATGCAAAACCACAAGGCCCAGCAAAGCCCGTAGCAGATCAGCTCAGCATGCCTCCCGCAGCCTGAAGCAGGGGGCAGGCAGCAAGCTGGCCCCAGGAGCGTGACACGGAGCTCTGCTGCGCTGGGAGGAAACAGCAGCCATCAGTACTAAGGGCTGGTGGTTAAACTGCTCCCAGCCAGTGAGCCAGCTCAAAAACAAATACCCAGCAGATGCAAAAATAAGTACAAGTGAGGTCTGTTCTTGTCATTAGTTCTTACGTCTCGTGGAATTTGGTTACACTTCCTGTTTTTTTGTTGTTGTGTTTTTGTTTTTTGGTTTTTGTATCCCATTTTGTCTCTTATATATTATTTTAAACACATTGTAAAAAATAAACAAGGTGCTGCATTTGCATCACATCAGTTATTGATAGGAAAAAAGAACCCTCCAAGGTAAGGCACAAGCAGCTTTTCCTTTGCTGCAGCTGCTGGGCGTTGGTGCTGCATCTTTTGCCCGAGCTCTCTCCAGCAAGGCAGGACTCCTCGGGCAGTGTGAAATTCTGGGAACAGCAACACACAGCTGAGGAAAATACACACTTTTTTTTTTCAGTAAAGAGAGCCTTCCACCATCTCTGGTCCCCTTCCCATCCCAGCAGCACTGAAGCAGCCCCCCAGCCTCAGCAGTTTCCCAGGAACTCAGAACTCACCAAAGCTTTTTTCACACCAAAGCTTTCTTCTGGCTGTCTGCAATTTGGCACGGCTCCACGTTTGATGATACAATTTGTTTTCAATCCTTTGTAGCTGTGAAAAGGCAGATTTTTCCTTTGAAGGGAGACATATGTTTTTTTTCATGGTAGCCTTTTGCTGGCACACACTGCCTCTCTGATTAATTTTGCAGCTCCTAGTTACTCTGTAAATACTGGCATGTCTGAGCATGTTCCAGGTGCTATTTCCTAGGGCTGGAAAGAATGCAATTGACTGGGAAGATAAGAGATGAAATCACCTCTCTCCCCATTATTTACACTTTGCATGTATTTGTGCCTAAGGTTTTTACCAGGGCCCTTCTAAGGGTTTCTAAAAATGTCTTGAGCTCGAAGCAGCTCCAGCCAACAGCGACTTCAGCAGCACAGTACGAGCATCAGGCCGTGCAAGCGACACTGTGTTTGGGTAATATTCTCTGCTCGTCCACGTAACTTCAGGGTTATGATTGCATCTGAGTGTGCCTGATGTAAATTTTATTGTGTCTCCTACTAAGAGGACAATAAGACAGGGAGAAACCGGAGGATGTCCTGGCTCAGTGGGAGTCAGCTATTGTTCTGCTCAGGGCTTCAGACACAAGCAAGGCAAACCTTTACCTGTCCTCATTTCTTTCCAAGAGTTTTGTGCAATTTTGTAAGACTCCTTGCTTTTCTCCTTATCCCTTTTGGTCAGTTGGTGAATGATTAAAGAGGTTGTATGTTTGTTGCAAAAGGAAAACAAAACGGCACGTTTCCCCTGCTTTCAGCTACACTATCTCCATAAAAAAAAATCCGAGGGAACACATGGGGAGCTGGCAGGGAGCAATAAAGCTTTGTGACAGGTAATGTTCCCCCTGGACCACACGTACCACTTCTTTGGCTTTCTGAAGACTCTTCCAAGCCAGGACCACATCTGTGGAAAACAGGAGATGAAAGCATGGTTTAACATCTCTTCACATCTGTCTTCACTAGAGACAATTTCCCCTCGTGCCCAGCCCTGAACAGATTACAGAGCTGGTGGCTGAAACATGGAATTGCTCCTGGAAAATTGAGTCTGGGCTGCGTTTGTGTACGTCGTGTATTCAGTGAGTGCTCAGCTCCATCAGAGCTAATGCTCTTAGAGCTGCGTTACTGCTTAGTCAGCAACATCTCCACTGATATTAGCTGGTAGTTTGGCATGTATTTAAGAAAGACTGAGATGAATTTTCCCATTTCCATCCTACTTGGTACTAGTTACTTACAAAAAAAAAAAAAATACAGGATTACTTCTGAGAGTAAGAATGGCTTCTTACTCACGTCTTTTTAAAGAAAAACAAACAAACAACAGCAACAAAGCAACACATCAGATAGAGAATCCCCTGCTGCAAACTTATTGCATACATTCAAAAGAAATTGAGTCTTGCTGACTTCAGGCTGAGGAAGACTCAAAGAGCAGGTCCCGGTGATAGAAAGGGAAAGGGGGGTTAGGGTATTGCTGTAAGAGCTGCAAGCACAGTTACAAAATAGTCCAGCACTGCCAAACTTCAAAATATTTCCTCCATTGTCATTGAAGACGTGCATTAAACTAAACACTAAGGAATTCCTTGGTTTAAAATAAAGTTATGTTTGAATATGACCGTGGAGAGGAAAATGGAAGCCCCATACCCACGTACCTGCTAGAGGAGCTGATCCTCCAGGTACAGAGCTGCTCGCCATCCTTCAGCTGTGCTGGAGTTCTGCTTGCTTGACATCCGTGGATTAAAAAAACAAAAAAAAAAAAAAAAAAAAAAACATGCAAAAGGACTACTTATTGCTGCCCTTTGAGAACAGGCTAGGTCTTTTTTATTCCTCTCTATATTTTTACTCTGTAATCTGTAATTGCTGACTGCTAATGAAGACCCTCATCATTTACATTCCTGACGTCGTTGCAAGCGTTACCTGCTCTCATTAATTTTCTCAGCCTTGTGAAGGAATCCCGGGGGGAGACAGGCATATGACACAGCTGGTACATGACATAGTTATGCTGGGATCTCAGGAGCCGTGTGCTCACTTGAGACAAACAGTGTATGGCCAGGGGGTCAGGTCTGCTCCCTCCCACGGCCCCATTACTGCCTGCTCGGCACTTACCTTTTGTAGCCTCACCCATGCGAGGAACAGCGTCTCCACTTAGGAGCAGTACAAAATCACCTAGAGGAGCACTTTGGAGATGATCTGTGGAGGAGCTGAAACCTTTCTTACGTCTAAATCCAGAAGCTGCTTCCAAAGGAAGGTGTGAGAAGGAGCTCAGCACCAAACACCATCCTCGGCTCCTTCCCGGTGCTGAACCACCTGCAGGCACCAGCTCCCTGGCACCAGCTGGGAATGCAAAGGTTCCTCTGAAACCAGGCCAGCGCCTGCCCTGCCCCTGAGTGCTGGGAGGTGCATGAGGCCATCCAGAGAGCCCCACCAGCCGTCAGCCACCGCCACACCTTTGTTTGGGCCTCTCGGTGCAGGGCAACAGCAACGGCAGCACAGGGAGAGGCCATCAGGAACGGCGAAGAAAACAAACAGCAACAAGAGGTGCCTGAAGGCTGAGCTCAGCTTGCAAACTTGCGGCGAGATGCCAGCAGCTTTCTTGACAAGCCCTTGTGTCCTTCCCAGGGCGCCTGGCATCCTGGCGGCGATGGGTCCCGGGGCTGGATGGCTGCAGAGCAGTGGGAAAAGTGGTTCAGGAGCTGTGAGTCCAACCCAGGGCCCAGCTGGAAGCAGCCCTGGGATGGGGAGAGGACACGGTGCTGGTGCAGGGGGAGAAACGAGATTTACCCAGGTCCTTGTCCCAGGGCACCTCTCCTCACACCCTGCCCTCTGGGCTGGTCCAGCCTTTGATCCCGCTCCCCAGCATCCCTGTCTTGCACATCTGAATCCTGGTTTCAGGAGAGTGGAGGGCTTAATTCTGAATTTTTATTTCATTTAGGGAAAATAATAATAATAATAATAATAACCTGCCTTTGCGATTATAAAGAAAAGCTTGAGAATATAAATAAGCCTATGCTATCAGATTAGATTTTTCCACTTTTCCACTTTCCAGTTTAGATTTTGTGAGTGACTTTTTTTAGTGTCAAAGTGTTTAAGTTTCATTATGTGAAATCCAGGGGTAACCACCCTGGTTCTTGCTGTCCCTACCTCGCATTTCAGATTACCAGGAGGGAACAGTTTATTCAGCAAGCAGCAGAGGGCAGCCTCAGATCACAGACAGGGGGTGAAGCTGTCAGCACTGGGTCTCTCAGAGCCCAGTTTCTACCAGGACAACCCAGGAGAGCGGCAGTGGCCACTTGGTCAAAGACAACCCGGAATGGGGAACAGCTGGAAAACCCTTGCTGTAGCAGTGATTCACTCTGCTCTTTTCCATACCCAGCCTTTTTAGCGAGTTTTTGTGCTGGGTTTCAGCAGGCAGTGGTGTCCCACACTGAGGCCTGCCAGTGCTTTTCTTAAACCTTCCCAAAACGGTGGCTGCAGAAGGCCACACATCCCTTATACCACATCTCAGCTGGTGAACCTGCCCTGTTCTGTTTGTGTGCTGCCCATGCATTGCTTTGGGAGAGCCGCCTCCTGCAGCTGTGTGTCCCAGGGTTACAGCTAATCCCTGCGTCTGTGATCACAACCAAAACTGTTACCATCAATATATAACGGCCAAGCCTAGGCTGATTGTTCGATGCTGCTCCTTTTCCTTGGTTGGATGAACCTTAGATATTAATTTCCTGTGAAATCCCTACATTTCACAGAATCACAGAATCTCTAGGTTGGAAGAGACCTCAAGATCATCGAGTCCAACCTCTATTTCCAAGCTCTAAACTTCCTTCCCACAAATATCCTCTACCATAAGCTGAAATTCTGCACTGCCCAAAGCTGTAGGTGCTGTTGGCTCAGATAGTCATGGAGGGCACATGAATATGATAAAGGCAAGCAAACAAGAGTAAAAATAATTGGTTTCCCTACAGCAGTGACCATCAGTTACTGCCATCATGGGCTGAATTTCAGTAAGTACCCTGAGAAAAGACATTGTGTCTTCTCCAAGGTGTCCTCACTGCAGAGCAAAGCAGACTAATGTACTGTTCCATCAGCATTTTGGCTTATATTGAATCCGACTCTTGTTTCTGGTTTATGTCTTCAATTATTTGTTCGTGCTTTATAATTCTACAGATTTGCTCTCAGCAGCAATGTCAGTATTGTAAGCGTTCGTTATTACTGGAAAGTACTCAGATGGTGAGGCAAGATACTGACACCACATCCTTTCATCTACAAGGATCCCTGTGGTCTCTAGAGAAGCTCTCTTGAAGATACAGACTCAAACTGCTAATCTAATAAATGTCGCTGCAGCCTGCGCTCAGATACCCGCAGCATTTCAGCTTTTCAAGTCTAACCAAACAAGGAATTCCTGAGCTGCAGACTGGAGTCACAAAGTTCCCATCTCAAGCTGTTCCAAGCCAAGGTTTCGGCCTGATTAGAGGTTTCGGTGCTAAGAATGCAGAGCTTGTCCAAGAGTGGAGCCGCAGCTATTCAGGGTGTGCGAGAGATAAGAGCCTAAATTGCAGCCTGAGGGTTCAGAGGCAGCCACCGAGCAGAGCAGGCTGGCACAGAGGAGAGGACAGAACAGCAACGTGAAACCTCAGCAGTGGGATGGCAACTTTTGGGGAAGGCTGGGTGAGCTGGGAGGCTAACAGCGACCAGGAGAGCCCAGGGCAGGGCTTGTCCCACATCTGCCCAGTTTGGGGAGGCACCTGGAGGAGCAGGACTGCAGGAACCATGCCAGGCAGCGTGTTCGGTGCTTCTGAAGTTGCTCAGGTCGGACCGGCATTTATTTTGGCACCGTTATTTCCCGGCAGGCTGCTGGAGCTGACGAGAGCCAGGAGAGTGACAGATTGCCAGCGTGTTGTGCTGCACATCGTGGAGTGTTAGACCACAAATCTGCCAGGAGATGAGGAAGTGGAACCTACCCATCACTGGGCCAAGTCCCACTGCTGCAGAGCGCGAAACTCCCGAGTCAGGGAGCCAAGTGTGAACTGAGTCAGAGAGGAGCAAATCCTCCTGGATGTGTATTTTAGGTCTGTATGAGCAAAATGAGTCAGTCATGCACAGTTCTGTCCTGCTGACTCCCCAGCCCCCATCACACGGAACTAAGAATTGGGCCCCGTGTTTTTATTCACATGGCATTTATGATGCATCAGTCCTCAAACAATTTCCCTTGCAGGAGTATTCAGACATCACCCACTAGTTTCAGCAGGTTCAACTACCGTCTATCACATACCTGGTACGGGTTTTACAAAAGCCATTTTAGTTTTTTTTCAGGGCAGGATATTGCAAAGTTTCTGTAGCTAAAAACCTGCCAGGAGCGATGCTGATAACCCACTGCATGGCATTATCCCACAGGGAACACACCGACAAGATGCGAGCCTGCTTTTTCCCAACCAGCAGTTTCTGGGGATCTTGACAGGTACCCTGAATGTCCTCTGAGGTGGGACCAGAAGTGCCCAGCTCTGCCACACTGTGGCACTCTGAGCTTCGGTGTGTGCCTTCCCGGTGTCACAGCAAGGTACAAGCCAGCTTGGTAATTGCTCAGCCCTGCAGAAAGGTGCTTGGAGCCTGCAGGCTTGTTTCAGATCCTTCTGGCTGCAGGCTCACCTTCCAGAGCCTTCAGTTTGCCCTCTCACGGCTGTGCACTGTCACTGTTTAGGAAATATTTAAACCAATAACCCACAAGGCCTAGCAAAATTCAGGAAGTGCAGATGTACGTGAACCCGAACTAGAAATTCCTCCTAAGGCTCTGTGGTTTGAAGCTGCTGCGTATCATGCAGACAGTAGTTTTGTCCCCACCAGACGTGCTCCAAGGGTCTTATAAGCAGAAATTCACAGCTCTGGCACCTACACATACACTCCTTTCTTTCTCGTGCAGGTTTGCCCTGTGTGCCTACGTTCGTGGGAGCATTGGGAGTTCCTTCACTGATGGGAAATAGGTCCAGATGAAAGGAAAAAAATGGTTTTGGGTTTTTGGTGGTGTGGGTTTTTTGTTGTTGATTTTTTTTTGTTTTGTTGTTGTTTTTATAGGTGCCTGACAAAGCAATTTACATTGTAAAGCACTTTTCATACAAATTCTCCGTTAGCAAGCAATCAAACCACAAATCTAGCTTTTAACTGCAAGCTGGATGTGACAAAAATTTTGTAGTAAGCATATGGTGGGAAGAGGCAGCTGATTAAAAAAAAAATAAGTGTACTGCTCTGAAGTCTGACAGCCAAGGGCCCAATCCTGTGCCCATTGAAATCCATGACAAAACACTAGCTGAACTGAAAAGGGACAAAGATAAAGACACCTGATAATTTGGGATTTGATTTGAAACTGCAGAGAATTTAGGCTTGGCTACTACACATTGGAAGTCATTCATAAAGGTGCAGTATTATCTCTCAAACCAGCAGGAAACTAAGACTGAGATAAATTTGCTGCCCCATTGACAAAGCCTTGTCACAGTTCCTGAGATAAGACACAAATTTCTTCTTTCACAGAAAGAAACTGCTGTAAAAATAGCAGTGTTCGTGCACAACTCTTAGAGATACATACGGGTGAGCCTGAGCCCGGCTGCAGAAGTTTCGCTGGTACCACGGATTTCTTTCTGTTCTTTTCATCCTAGCAGCTCATGTTATTTCCCATCTTGTTAGCAATAAGCAGACACATTTCCCATGGCCTGTGTCATACACTCAGCCCATGTTTTGCGCTAAGTGCTGTATAGAGATCTGCTTAAATGCAGATGAACTACCATGAGGCTGCTGCAAGCCTAGGGAGGGATTTACCGCAATAGAGATGCTCTTCCTTGCAGTGATTACAGCCAGAAACACAAGGAAATCTTGAGCTTGAATTTTCCTATTGAAGCCCTGAAATAATAAGAATAACGTGTGTCATCAAAAACGATACCTTTGGAATATCTGCATTTTATGCTGCATGTCAAATGGCGTGTGGAAAACAGCAAGCGCTTGCTTGATGTGTTAAAATATGTATAAATCATACAGTTATCAGGGAAAAGTGTGTAAAGGTAGGAAATAGCTATTCATAGTCCTTTCTTTTTTTTTCCCTTCTTTTCCCTATCAGTAGGAGACTATGTGAATGGAATCAGAAGCAAGGGATGGGGAGGCTGCCTGCACTGTGCAGCTGAACGTGGGAGAGCACATGATTGCCATGGAAACCTGCAGTAGTAAACGGGGCTCTTCGGCTGCGAGAGAGGATTTATAGCACCAGGCTGGGAGGAGGCAATTGAATTCAACGATCCACAGGTAAAATGGCACATTTCCCTGCACATTGTCTCCATGCACTATAAAATGGAAAGGAAGGGTAGGTGGTAGGGGAGAACTGCAGCATTACAAAGTTATGGGGTATCTCAAAGCCTGACCTTAAACCCACAGAAGCTGATGCAAAGATTCTTGTGGGTTTTGGTAGGGGCCAGACCTGGCACGCAAGGAGCAGGCATACATTCCTTGTGCACAAAACCAGAGCAGTAGGTGGAAGGATGCAGCATACCTGTGCACAACAAACTCAGAGGGGACAAACTGAGCCTGTTCCCTACTTGCACAGCCCTGCGGATGGTGGAGGCTGCAGCTCAGGATCACTGCCCAGTTCATGAGCTTGGTTTGGAGCTGTGGAAGAGTCTGACAAGGACCTCCAAAACAGCTGGTCACACACATAAGTGAGATCAAGTCAGCTACAAGCTGCAACCAGTGCTTCTGTAAGGAGGGATCAGACAAGTGGACAATGATTTATTGCCTTCAGATTCTCCCATTTATTGGCATCCAGACACAGTTGCATGGAGCCATATGAGACAGCAACAATATCATTTTTGTAGTGCTGCCTTCATCACCGCACATTACCAAGACCTGATGACAGTGCCACATATCCTCTATATCAGACATTGCACGCCTGACTGATCTGGCTCTCGTCTCAGGGCAATAGTTAAACATAACATACATGGAACCACCATGAGGCTGGGGGGTTCATCAGCTCCTGCAGAACTCCATGCACTTGAGGAATTTGCCTTATTACCATAACCAGTAATGAAGCTCAGCATCTCCTGACTCACCGGGTATCCTGGGCTTACTGTGATTGGATTTAAACACAGTTTAGTATGCACCTGGGTATATTTGTGACGTTAAACATAAGAAGGAAAATTCATTTTGAGCTGGAGAATACAGAGTCCTTGGCAGCAAAGACACAAAGCTTTGTACACTCTAATTACGTTTTACTGTGCTTTTTGTTCCAATGTTACTTTGTTCTGCTTCAACCTTTCATCAAAGAACTACCAAGAATAGCAAGATTTCAGCCTTTTCCTTCAGGAAAAGTTTTATCTTCAAAACCAAAATGCTCCAAACAAAACAAACATCCAGAAATCAGGTCCTCCTGTCCTACCTCTGTTGCTGCTTTGTTGAAGTCCTGCCCACCAGCGCTTCCACTTTCTTTTTGCAGGGTTTCCTCTTTATAGTGTTCTCCTTGGGCTTTCAGTGACTCTCCAAGTCCCCCCTGCACCTTTCAGTTCTTTATCCCTGCTCAGCAATTTGCAGGCCATTAATTTCAGACCTGCATCACTTGCAAATGACAGGTGAGAAGCTTATCAAATTACCTAGGTAGAAATTCTTGGGCAGGTGAGTATTTTGTGGCACGTTCAGGTGCTCGGTGACAGCTTGTCTCTGTCGGACAGCAGCTGCCTTGCATCAGCACTGATGTGCCCAGTCCCAGCTGGGACACCAGTTGTGAGAGCAGAAGAGCTTTATATATCCCACTTATTAAGAATAGTTCTAGAGATCACTGCTCATAAATTTACCTGATTTCCCCTTGATTATATTTCATTTACCTCTAAGTGCTGATCCAAAATATTGTCAGTAGAGAAGCAGCAGGATAAACTAGTGCAAACGATTGGTTTTTGCCTTGTTGTGCTCTGTCAAGTCAGGTTACCCTCATTTTTAGCACTGTTTCTGCTGTTGTCCCCTGGGATTCTAGACAGCATGGTCATTTAACCCAAGATTATTTTTGACCTTGATTGGTATTTGTTTGGGCATTTTTTTCTGTCTTTTTGGATATAAGCTGGCCAAAGTATTGTCTTACTATTGATGAATTTAATCTATACGGAGCTAAGTGCAAAGGAAAATAGATACTAGCTGCGCACACATCTCCAATGGAAAATAAGCATCGCATGTTTGAAGGCTTAATTCTCTGCTGATGTAAAGTGATGCGGCCCTGTTACAGTAAATAGAGCTATCCCAGTTTATGTAAGTAGAGAAGCTGACCCTGAGGAATCTCTGTTTGCTTGCAGCAAAGTTGGTGGGAGTGTTGCTGCTGTCACCAAGAGAAAGAACTGATGCCCCTCAAAACGATGGATTTTTAATGCTGAGCTGCTCGGAGCAAGGAGTGCTGCCACTGCAAGAATTTGGTAGGAAAATCTGGGCTTGTTTAATTCTGCTGTCTGGTAGAAAGGTGAGAAGTTTGTAGAGACCTAGAGACAGGCAAGTGAAATGCTCTGTCCTGTGCATAGTCCCAACTGGAAGGGCTCCCAGATGTGATTTGTATGTTTCTATGACAACATCATTTGTCAGCGCTCGAGTGAAAGTCAAAAGCAGCAGCCAGGAGGTAGACACACTGCTCTGAGCAGCCAAGCCACTCCCTTGGCTCCCTTTGCATTTCCAGGGAAAAGTAAGGGAATGGGGTTGTAAATGCAGACTAACACTGTGCTTTGCTACTCCCAAACGTCTCATCCAGAATCAGGACTCTGCTTTTTTCCAAGAGGCCAATGCAGCCTTCAGGCTGCAATCAACAAAGGACGCAAATGTTTGATCTCGATGGACAACTTGAACAAACGTTAATGTTCATTTTGTCCCTTAGGCAATACAGGCTGCTAATCACACAGCGTGATCGATACTTCAGTCCATGTTACAATGAAAACATGAGTGCTATGTCAACCATAATGCCGAGATTTGCCAGTCCAGGAAAAATTTAAAATATCGAAGGATACAACTAATCAATAGTTAAAAAAAAAAAAAAAAAAAAAAAAAGGACAAATTTTACAGATGACAGAGCAGATTGTCTAATTAGAGTTCTGACATAAATGTTCTCACTAAGTGAATGCTGCATCAGGCCCAGAACTTGTGTTTGAACTGCAGCACAGTAAAACACAGTTCTTTCAGATATAAACTAATGGAGAGTGCACTAGGTTCCTAATAAGTTAGTTGTTTCACTGCTTAATTACCTACATTTAAACATCACAGCTTTTTTCTAGTCTGAATTTGCCTAACTGCAAGTTCTGAAAGTGCCTTTCTTCTATTGCCAGAATTTTTCTTGTCTATAAAGTTAAATGATTAAGTCACACCTTAAAATTTTCTTAAGCAAGTTAATTGACTTGCTTAGTTTTGCATCATGCCAGTAGCTGATATTTATACTCCTTGTTATTGTGTTGCTTTGTGGTATTATGCTTGGTTTGTTACCTCCCAGTACCAGTAGCCTTTCACTGCCAATTTTTTTTTTAGCACGTGCATTTTCATTTTGTTTGTGTTATCTGAACCAAGCTGTTTTCAGGCACAATGGATTGACATTCCGTACCCTTTTTGACTGTGTCCTGTACTGGACTAACAAGGCTGAAGATACTTTGGTCACCCCAGTTGTTTTTCTAAAAAAAAAAAAAAATCAGTGCACTATTAGTTTCTTTTCAGGCCTTTGGAACTGTCTTTGCATTCTGTTATTTGCTCACAAATCAGCATTAATGGCGCCAGTAGTGTGTTATGTTAACTGTGCCCATTAACATTCCTATAATGGGAATTATTATTCTAAGAAAATGTTGTTTAATATTGTCATAAACTTGCCTTAGTATTCTATTTCACTTATTCTCAAGTAGAAGAAATGTAGAAAAAACCACCACCACCACCAAAACTGTATATCCTGCCATCAGCACCTGGAAGCGCGGGGATGTAGTGACATTTTCGCATTGAATTTCACTGCTCGTTAAGAAGTTGACGTGTTTAGACATGAGCCCGTGTGGTTAGGCTGCAGCTCTTTGGTTATAAACAGCAAGTGCTTCCTGTCGCAAGTGCTGCTTTGGGGACTGGAGGGCTATGCAGCCGGGCGCTCAGAAGCTCTGTGACCTTGCGGTGTGGCTGCTGACACCACGCAGCGATCTCCTTTTGCACCTTCCATTTCTGGCCCTGAGCTGTTGGCCAATTAAATAGAAATAAACGCTGTCAGTTACACGTTTGGGAAGCAGAAACTTGGCTAAGCAAAGCAGCTGAAGTGTAAATATTGGCAATCTGTTTTAAAAACAAACCCAAACAGGCTTGCTTGTAATTGATGTCATTACCAACTGTTCCAATTTGAAAAGGAAAGAAAGCCCCCTTCCAAGGTGAGAATGTGTATTTTCCCCCTGGGCTTTGAAGTATAACAAAAGATTATTTCTTATTTGACTTAGTGCTAGTAGGCGGTTTCCCCAGACTTCCAGCAAGGAGAAATTGGTTATTTGTCTGTTGGCTATTGGAACTGAAGTTGGTGAAACAAACCCTTTGCCATCGTTGTAAATATGAGCTAATTGTGAATAGGAGCTTGGGGTTATTTGCCTGAGCAATAAAGCTGTGATAAAAAGTCTCTAAGGAAAGCCTCCTGTTGCTGACATTCAAATCTTTCTTCCAGACAGTGGAAGAGAGGGCTGGGCATGAAGGACTCATCGTGGGCTGGGGAAAGGAAGCTAAGAGCATCCTCCGTGTGTCACCTTCCAGACGGTGGGAAGGGGTTTGACCTGGCCTGACAGCCCGAAAATATCCCAGCCACCATGACTCTGGCTGCTGGCTCTGGGCACTGTAGCTCTGGGTGTGAAGCCTGAGCCCCAGGGAAGGTCTCTGTGCTCTGCAGTTGTGGCTGTTTCAGGCATGCATGCACACAGGTAAATTATTCAGAGAAGCTCGTTACTCAGAGCTTTCCCTGGGTATCGGTGCTCCAGGTGCTTTTAAGAGACAACCAGAGGTAGCAAAGCAGCTCCTAAGTCTCTGCTGATCTCGCTTATTTCAGGTATGAATAATATTTCTGGCTGTGAGTCTCTATTACAGGTTATCTGCAGATTGTAATAACCTCTTCTGTGTCTACTTTGGAGAGGAAATAATCATTATGGAGTCCCACTCCCAGAACAGAGGAGTTTTGTTGCCTTAGGACCAGATTCAGTGGAAGGAAGGATTGCAAAAGCTCTTGAAAAATGTAATTCCTTTCCAGGTCCTGAAAAAAAAAGCAGTGCATCACAGCGTCTTTATTCAGACCCATTAGATCTTCCAGATGCATGCAGGGTTCTGCTCCCTAAAGACAGATATTAAACCTCGTTCTTCTTAATGCATTGTTTTAAATAACAGGAATAGTTAAGCACTCCTGCTGAAACCCATCCCTGCCCCCTCAAGAGTTTCCTGCATGGCTCTGGGCTGTTCTGAGGAGGATGTTGTTGCAAATCACTTAATTATGTTTTATGAAAATCCCAGAGCCAAAGCAAACATTCCAGGTTCAGACGGGCTGTGTGTGGCCCAGATTCGTACATCAGCCTTTACACCTTCCAGGGATATTTCTATCATCCCTTTTTTCTTAAATAAGGCTCACTTCTCTCTCACCCATCTTCACTCTCATTTCAGGCTCACTCAAACCGCTTTGCTTGCAGCTCAGAGCTACATTTAAGATCTTCAGAAATTAATTCTCTGCTCTTTCCCAGGAGGAACGGGTAGACGTGTGTAGTTTCATTGTCTCCATTTTACAAACCAGCATACAGCAGCACCAAGGGCGATGTTTCACAGGAAAGCAGTCCCATCATCCTCTCCCTTTTAGCCCCATGTTCTCCATCTGGAGCATCCCCCCCTGCACGGAGAGGAGGTTTGCTGGGTTATCTTTCACTTGGATCACTTCTCGGATTCAGTGTGGCTGCGTGAACATTTGTGCTGGACAAGTGTTGACAAACCACTCTGCCTGCCTGCTAGCAGATCATTTATAGCATCCATCTCTGAGTAATGAGCTTCTCTGAATAATTTACCTGTGTGCATGCATGCCTGAAACAGCCACAATTGCAGAGCAAAGAGACCCTCTCTGGGGCTTAAGCTCACATTCTCTTCAGCCACTAATTAACGTTTCAGTAACTGTTGCCTTTTTCTCTGTGCTGGGAAAATAATAGGTCTCTTTATCCCAATGTTTTTGGGAACCTGATAGGGACCCTGGGTCTTCAAAACTATTCCTTTTCTGTCAAACATGTTGGAAGTGAGCTAGGAGTGAAGTGATTGTCCGTGGGGAAGAGGCAGGAACTGGATGCACCTGTCCATACACTAGGGGCACCTGTGTTCTTTCACAGGCAGTCACAACAAAGTGAGTGCAAGAAAAAATATTCTGTTCTATATCCACAGAAACTGAGACCACAGCCTGCTTTTCCTTGCAGGCTACCTTTAAAGGATTTTAGAAAATGGCAGCCTTTTTTTTCAGAATGCAGTGTAATAGCAATGTGCTTCAAGAGCCTGCCAGCTGGGAAAAAAAGAAAGACAGTTCAAGGTGATGGTGTTTAATTCCAGCTGTTACTAGTAAGAGCTGATGATTATAGTGCCAGTTCAGCAGCGCTTCCAGTTTGGGTCTGTCGGTGCTGGGAGCCTGAATTACTATGCTCTTCTTGCACACAAACCCCAGCAGAGGCCACCAGCAATCCATTCCAGGAGCCCCAGGAAAGCTACCATGCTCATTAAGAGAGATCTTAATGTCTTGGAGGGAGTGCCTGACTCCTTGGTGCGTCTGCATGGTGAAGACATCAAGGCAGTGGGGGACTGTTCCTAAATCCTTGTGATCCATGTATGCTTTGCAAAATCTGCTGGCTGGCTACCGTGTTGCTGTTCTGTATTGTGGTCACTGCCTTTCCCTCAGCTTTCTGTGCCTTGTTGCTTTCACGGTTGTCTCTTCTAAATGGTAGGAAACGTGATGATAGGTAGAGAGCTCCTCTGTGCTGTGTTGTGATAGCTTTGGATATCAGGGCCTTAAAGAAATACTAAGAATGCCCCAAGGAGTTAAGAATCCTGCAATCCTGTCGCTTAGTGTTGTGATCCCGCCTGGGTTTATGCATGAAGCGAAGTTGTATCCAGGCTGTGCTCAGACACAGAGGCGTTCAGTAACTAGCAGGAAGAAGAATTCAGGTAATTTCATGGTTCTCGCTCTTTACTAGCAATCAGCGGTGTCTTTAGATGAATAAAAAGCTGTTGGCAGTGGTAGTTGTCAGCAGAGGTAAGTAATGTGTATCTAACACAGACCCTTCATCATCCTGTGATGGATTCTGTCCTATTTCCATACGCTGCCCCCTTTCTCGTGATCCATTCCTCCTTTTTGTTGCTCTTTGCAGCAGCCCTCTTCATATTTAAAGATTATTGCTCCACTTCCTCTTGATCTTACCCAAACCGAACAAATCCATTTCTTTTACCTTTTTCTCATAGGTCACTCTTGAACACGTTCATCCGGAGTCGTTCTAATTCTCCATGTCTTTCCCAACGCGTGATGCAATGTGGACACAATCCATCAGATGAATTAGTGGTATTTTTTGAAAACCATTGGGGTTTCTTTCTCTCTGCACACATGTAATCTGCCTGGTTCATTGCAGCTGAGCAAGAGATCTGAGCTGTGGCTTAGGTCCAACTACTTGCAGGGAGCTCTTGGCATGAATGTGTAGGGTTAACCAAACCCAACCCACAGCAAAGTAATTGAATTATTTCATCTAATGAATTCAAATCTATTGTGACCCGTTAGCCACTTGTACAAGAAGAGAAAGAAACTGAGTTTGTCAGATGATAAATTATCCATAGCAAATTCATGAATTTTAGGGCCAAAGGGGACCATTACGCTCATCTCAGCCTGACCTCCCGCGTAACCCAGGCCGGGGAATTCGACCCGGCGATTCCCGTGTCGTTAGCGTGTGGGTGACTCGTTTGCTCAGAGCTCTGTGGAATACCATAGACCTGGCATGGGCCCAAACTGGAAGCTGGCCTCCACCCTCCTTTCTCTTGCTCCCCTTTCCAGCATTGTTTCTCTAAAGGGCAATTACTCCATCTGCCCACGTCCACTAAATGCAGACCCAGCGCTGTGGGCCCCGGGCAGCAAAGCACCCTCTGTCTCCTGCGGTTGAGGAAGCTCCATAGCCAGAGGCAAGAGCAGCTGCTTTTCATCTTTTGCACTTTTTTCACTTGAAGAGGGGCTTGTGGGGAGGCACAGACAACCCCCCTTCTGGAAATACAGACTCTCATCGGGCTGAATGGTTACTCCTTGCCATGCTCTCATGAATGGCTGCTTGCGCCAGGCTGCTTGCTGCTCTCAGAGAAACCACAAACCTGGGTTAAAAGCTGGCCGGTGCGAGGCACTGGCACCCGAGCCTGGCCTCTGGGGCTGCCTGGGGTCCCTCCAGCAGGGCTCTGCACAACTGAGACCATTCCAAAGCTAAGACACAGATACAACTTTGTTTATGAGCCTTCTTTTGGATTTAACTGCCCAATCAATTAATTCTTGGGAGAGAGGCTTTTGTGGTTTGCTAGTAGGGTGTTATTGATGGTGGTTTTCCCTGAGCAGGATCTCTGCTTGCTCTGGAGAGGGGCTTTTGCACAGGTCCCTAGGGTGAAACGTGCCAGTAAGTAGGACGTGGCTCTGGATTCCCCACGACCACAGGGTCCCCCATGACCACACGGCTGCAGGGACTGCAGAGTGAGCTGCTGGAACCTGCCGAAAGCCACAATTTATGCCTGCGCTTCTTTGGGGAGTCTGCGACGATAATGAGGTTTAATTTGGTGTTGCTGGATAAGCAGCACTCATTTACAGGCAGGCTCCTGCCGAGCGATCAGCTCACGAACCTACAGGAGCGTTGCAGGCCGTGGAAAACGGAGGGAGATGCATGCAGCATTTGAAGTGCCCTGCAACCAGCTCTGGACACATGAGAGGTGATAAATAAGAGGTGCCAGCGTCCCACGGGACACCTGCCATGGGCTGGAGGGAAACATCCCTTTTCCGATCGTGGTCCTGGCTGCTTGCTCGGTGGCTCCTGGCGGTGGGTGCTGCATCAGGCTGCCGGGGGGCTGCTGGTGCACCCCTGCTGCTGGCGTGGCTGTGGCTGTGCCAGGTCCTGCTGCTGGTCCTGCTGCTCCTCCAGGTGCAGGCACTCAGTGCTGGGAGCAGAGCCTCAGCTGGGCAAGCCACGAGAGGTTTTCCAGCGGGCTGCAGGTGGTGGGGGGAGCAGGAGGTGGTGGGGTTTGCTGCTGCACCAACCCCTTTGTGCAGGAGCCGTGCCTGCACCTCGACGTGGGCACCCAGGGCGAGGGCACCCAGGGGTGCTGCGGGGCGGCGGCAGCGGGGAGCCCCGCGGCCGGGCCGGAGGAGGAGGAGGAGGAGGAGGAGGAGGAAGGGCCGCTGCCCGCCCGGGGCTGACATCAGCCGGAGGAGGGGCCTGCCCGCGAGTTTCTTTGCTCGGCGCATCACTTCCCGCTGCTGCCATACTCCGGTGCCCGGTCCCGGGCTGCTGCTACGGGGCCGGGGCCGGTGCTGGTACCGGTGCTGGTACCGGTACCGGTCCCATGGCGTTGCTGCCCGCTACCGACAGCCCGGGCTCCGCCGCCCGCCGGCTCTACTCGAGGTGAGCGGGGCCGAACCGGGGAGCGGGGCCCCGGCAGGATCGGTCCCTGCCCGCCGCCCCCCGGAGCCTCCCCGGGACCCCGCAGCCCCCCGCCTGGGGAGGGGAAGGGTGGGAGGCTCCCCTCGGGAGGGAGAGGGCTGCTGCACCCGGGTGGATCGGGGGGAAAGACACCGGGACGTGGCGCTCCCCCCCCCCCCGTGGGGCGGTCCCCGGGACCGGGGGGGGGCTGAGGATGCTGGGGGGGTGCCGGGGTTTGCCTCGGTCCCAGCCCGGAGCCATGGGTGCTGAGGATGCTGAGCCCTCGCCCGTGCTGGGCGTTTGCATGGGAGGCTTCTCAGTCGCACTGCAGAGACTTTAAGGCTCAGCTTTAAAACTGGGCACTACACGGCTTTGTGCGAGGCTGGGGAAAAGAGCTTCGGGCTCTCTGGGCTTTGTGCGAACACCGGGGCTTGGCTCTCCTCTTCGTCCAGGTCAAAAAATCAAAAAGTCTGAGCAGGAGGTGATTTGAGGCCCAGCAGCGCTGCTTGGAGTGTTGTTCATCCTGTTAGAGCCTCGTTGTGTTTTCTTTCTCCTCTCGTAGTCACAAGTGGGGGTAACGCAGCGTTTGCATGGGAGGGGGATACTCGTGCTATATGCAAGATAGTAGTTCACCATCAATTCGTTTTCTCTGCTTTGCAGTTATTAGAATGGCAACTAGTCGGATGTCTCCTTCCAAGCATTGGCTCGTTAGGAAAGCAGGTGTTTTCTGGTATGTCAGCTCCTGGGGAAATGAAAAGTCAATGCGGTTACAGCCACTGCTCTGCCTGCCCCAGGAGCTGCAGGGAAATGCACTGGCTTTTGATCAGGCTTGACCTTTTTTTGTTCTTTTTTTTTTTCCTTCTTGAAAACTTTTTGGGGAATAGACTTGTCATTTTGGGGATGGAAATCCTGGTGGGGGGCTGTGTACCCCCCTGTGGGCCTGTCCTGCACCACAGGCAGCACTACCAGCTGTGCAGAGGAGCCACGGGGAATGTGACTTGGTTTGGGCAGCTCCTGCAGCGCTCTGCAGGCCTTGGAAGCGTGTGCCAGGGGAGCCTGTCCGCCTCTCCTGCACTGCTACGTGGGGCTGTAACTCTGGAAGTTTCTCTGTAACTTCACTGGCATTGCCCTGGAGAAGTTTCTAGCTCGGAGTAGGTGACTCTAAGCCCTGGGTGACAGAAGCTCGGGTGCCTCTGAAGTAGTAAAGCTGTGGTGACTACTATCAAACTGTATCGAAGTCTTTCTCTGTGTGTGTTTATTTCCCATCGGAGCAGTAACTCTGGTGTAAGACCTGCCGTGGGCCCCTGTGTGGGCAGGGGGGCTGAGAGAGGAAGAAGAAGGCTGGGCTGGAGAGAACCGTGCAGAGAAATGGGAGCGTTTGGGGCCTGCTGGCAGCATGGAGCTCCCCGATCACACCCCACAAACCTGAGCTGAGCAAGCATGGACATAAGCCTGGGCTGGTGCTTTACATCCACTGGGGTTTTAGGCTGGTGCTAATCAATGTGCATCCAGTTCAGCTGCGTGTGACCTCTGGGGACTTCAGTTGGGCAGAATGTGGATGGAGAGGCCCACAAAATGCCTGCTGACAGCGGGTGTCCTCCTCTTCTCCATGCTGCAGAAAGTCTCACTTGCCTTCTTGTGCTGGCTGGCCTCAAATGGGTGGGAAGTGGCCAGCACCAAGCCCATCAGATGGTTCCTTAAGAACGTGAAAACTGAGATAAAAACTTGCTTTGTTCGTTCCTCCTTCCCTTGGTGTCCCCCCCAGGCCTCCCCTTCTCTTCCTTCACTGTTCTCTTTCGGTGCTGCGTTCAGGGGAGCTGCTGGCTGCTGTCATGTTTACAAACTTCTCTTGATTGTGTTGTAAACAGTCTCCATCTCACTCATTAATGTCACTTCAGTGGGTACCTGACCTGAATGTGCGCCAGGCAATTAGAGAGCTCTCTGAGAGCACCAGGGATCTTTCTAGAGATGGTGGCTTTCTCCTGTTCTGCTGGGAAACTGAGGTGGGGGACTTGTCGGCTTTCTGCTGCTGAAGGCAATGAGAGAGGGCATAACTCGGCACGGGGTTAAGGCAGGATAAACCTGTGTTTACAAGGCAAATTGTGGGAAAAACTCCACCACAGGGATGGACTTTGCTCTGGAACAGTTCCTGTTCACTTTGCATGGGTGTCCAAGGAATCTGGGATCCTCCAGTTGCTTTCTGGGTGCTAGCTTCTCAGTAACTTTCACAACTTTAGAAGAAAAGGCTTGATGTAATACTAAAAGCAATGTTGTGTTCTGTTCATTCAAAAGAAAAAAAAAAAGTTGCGCATTGTTTTCTTTTAAGATACAATTGAATACCACCTCTTAAAAAGAAGACAAGTATTTTCTGTCTGCCTACCCACAGAGATAAAAATTAGCACTGCTGGCAGTGCGACTTCTGGCATTTGTTGGGAATTTTCCTGAATGTTCACACGAATAAGCCTTCTGCTGATAATTACTGGCTCTCTATTAACTTGGGCTGGGTTTGAGCAGCGGTGTGGTGGCAAAGAGCTTTGTGCCCTGCTGGAAATCCTCTGAGCATGAAGGTAGGAGGGCTGTTGGCTCACAGGAGGATGGCATGGCTGGGGAGAGGAGGGCCTTGAGCATCCCATTCAATTCTCCCATGTTTCACCTTGTGGGACATAGGGAAAGAGAACTCCTCACCTGTGTTTTGGGAAGGGGAGGTACCTGATATGTGTACAGTGCCTAGCACGGCATGGGCTTTGTCTTCTGACCTCTAGGTGCTGCTGCAATACAACCGATTGTCTCAGGGGAGTTAATCTGACGTGTGTGCACATACAAGTCAGGATGCTGAGCTGCTCTTCCCCATGCTGTGCCAGCTGACTTGCACACCAGACCCTGTGCTTCTTGTCTTGACACCCTGTGAAGCCTCTTCTAGCCAACAGAGGAACGTTTCCACTTTATTTGGCCACCCCAGGGCCTGGGTGTGGGTTTGAAGGGAGGCAGCCTTTGACCCTTTCACGCTGGGATGCTGCAGGAA